TGTTTTTTTTTTTTTTTTTTTTTTTTTCTGGGAGAATCATAAAGCATGTGACGTGATTATTAAGGGCCTGGTTGATTTCCTTCCCCTCCTGCACCAGGACTAAATTATTACAAAATGCAGCCCAGCTTCCATGTTCCCAGCAAAAAGAAAAAAGAAAAGAAGCTGCTGATTCTCACTCATAAATCATCCATGTTCCATCCATTAATATTGACAATTGATGAGAATTGCTATCGATTTCGTGAGTCATCGCTTCAGGAGGCTGTGTTCCTTTCTGTGCTAGAAATCTCTCTGTCCATCAGATCCGTCATCTGTTTATCAACTCAGAATTAGAAAGAAAAAAGAGGAAGGAAGAAAGCTTTCCTCAGCCCAGCAGGGAAGAAGAATTAGGACAAAGAAGCTGAGCGGCAGAGAAATTGTTACACACCCAGAGAGCGATTGATTGATTGCACGGTAAACAAGAACAGAGCCAACCTGTGTCACCCCCTATGTCATAGGGTTGGGGGTGAGTGCTTTCCTCTGCTGGCCACTAGATGGCAGTATTGCCAAGGTCACCCTGAATGTGATTACCTAGTTTGGCTCAAGTCCTGAGGTTTACCCTCGGTTCCCTTACACAGGATACGCACACATTTGTTTATAAATCCAGACTGTTTTCTTTAAAAAGGTCTGGTTGTGGTGTGGCATGCCCGTAATCTTGGCATCTAATAGGTAGGAGCACCAAGATTTTCAAATCTATCCTCCACTACATAGACGCTTCTAGGCCAGCCTAGGTTACATAAGACCCTGTCTCAAATCAACTAAATTAAATTGAGTCAGTATCCATTTATCTTTTTCTGAAAGTCTTATGATCTTAAGCTTCGGCTATCCTTGGCTCCACCTACTCCTGAGGGGCTGGGGTTACAGGTGGAGGTTGCCCAGTTTATGCAGGGCTGGAGATCAAACTGAGGGCCCCAGGCCTGCCACACAAACACCAGCTGAGCTCCATCCCTGGGCCCTGAAACATGCATTCTGGAATTAAAGTCCTAATTTCCTTCTTTCTTTTTCCAGAGGCATATAACATCTATAGTAGCAGCCGCCTGTGAACACCAGCGAATTGCTTTAGAAAGGATAGCACTGTAGATGTGAAGCCTTTATAAATGTGTAAGATACTTGACATTCAGATAGCCCTACAAAATCCGGATTCTATAGTCAGTTCCTGTCCACATCAGAAACTTAGCATTGATAAAGAGCCTTGTATCCAGGCATGGTTGCGTATACCTGTAATTCTAGCACTTGGGAGGTGAAGGCAGGAGGGTTACACCCAACCTCAGCTATGTAGTAAGTTGGCCTTGGCTACACGAGACCCCCCACCTCAGTGGTAATAAATAAACCACACCTTCTCTTGCATATCTTGTCCTCGTCCCTACAGTATGCTAGGCACCTGTCTATTCCAGCTCTAACTCTGCAGGATTTACTGAGCCCCAGCTGTGTGCATAATGAGATCATGCTTTCTCTATAATATGTTTTTAGAATATCATCTTTGATTAAGATCTGAATCACAGTAGAACCCACAGCCGGTGTTCCAGCTACCCCAGAGCTCTTTGATTTGAAACACTGTGCAAATAGATAGGCTCAGCTCCCATGATGTCAGTGGCTTCATCTGCAGCTGTGATGTCCGTGGTTACCAGGCCAGTGTGTTCCTGTTTGGGTTTTGGCTTTGTTTAGAATTAAGAGGCTTATAAAGGAAGCCATAGAAACCCCAAGTTCCCCAATTGCTTCGGTACAGGAAACAGGGCAATTAGTCAGCATCTATTGTCCGGCCAGATTGTTTAAGATACAATTTCAAGACAATCTGGAAACACCTCCTGGCTTGATAATATGTAATTCAGCGTCAATGTCAAGCAAGCTCTTATCGAGGTTTGTTTTAGGGACAATTACAGGAAGACTATTCTGCAGTTTTATGAAAAATCTTTCAATGACACTGTCCTTAGGTTCCAAGGCCTTCATGTGACAATCAGGAAGGAGGGAAGTGTCTCCCTGAATACACGCTGGCCATGCTGGGAAGCATCAACCGTGATTCAGTTTTTTAGTGCTAGGATCTCCGATGCTGGCACAGGAATAAGAGGTTGCCTGGGAGAAGTGGATTTACAAAGCCCTGCCGGTGGTTGGCATGCTGGCTCCTGTTGCTTTCATTCCCGGCTTCCTCCTTGAAGACCTTGTTGGTTTTCTGTTCAGGGTCTATGTGAGGATACTTTATCTGCTCGGCAGACCTAACTGTGTTCCAAGGCTAGCCACGTGAAGAGCCACTCTCTGGACCTCAACGACCTCAGCTCCCAGACTGCCCTTTGAGGGGCTCCCAAAGGCCCAGGGCACTGAATGCCCATGGGAGGTAGGGCCAAGAATCATCTCCAGAAGTTCTCAAGGAAGCTCTGAGGGCCGGCGCCCATTAATAATCCCCTTCATAACTGTGCTGTTGTATCTTAAAAGAACATAGTCCACCTGGGATTCTTAAAGAAGAAGCAAGCAACAGAGCTGACATTTTCAGTTGCGTGTGGGATAAAGCATTCGGGAACACATTTGTTGTCTTTTGATAACTTTTTGTATTACTCAGAAAATGCATCCCTGATTCCTGTGACATTTTTATTGAAAAGGGCATAGTGGAGGTGGTGGGTGGGTGGGAATTTCTGTGGTTGAGAGTGAGTGTGTGTGTTGGTTTTTTTTTCTCTTTTTCTTTCTTTTTTTTTTCTTTCTTAGTAATGTTAGTCCCCAGGAAAGATTTTGTTTTGTTTTTGTTTTTTTTTTATTAATATTTGAGGTTTCCTGTCCCTAGCTAGTTAGAAAACTTTACCTAGAACACCTTACATTTATTGCGAGTGACTCGGTGCATAGCTTCTGTCATCTTCTGTACCTAGTCTGTGGTCCTTGCTATCTCAGAGGTTTGATTTTTCAGTCTCTGGTCTGCTGTGCCCTCCTTCCCACAGATGAGTGACACACTTCTCTCTTCCCATTGCCTAAGTCTTTATCTCTGGCCCTGCCCTGGTGTTTGGTGCTATCTCTCTGGGTGTCTCTGCCTTGGTCCCCCAGAGCAGATGGAGCCTAGATGGATAACTTGAGCATCACCTAGAAGACTAGGAGATACTTCACTCTGCCTCATTCTTTCGTGCATTTATTGGTTTACTGGAGTACTTAAGGGATTGCCCTACAGAGCTGAGTGTCAGAGGCACAGTGAGCCAAACCAGACCTTAGTCCTGTCCTTATGGAGTGTGGTGTGTAGTAGGAAATGCAGCTAGAAACACACAACATGACTTTTAAGTGCCGGATTACAGTGAGCACAGTTGAGAGTCTAACACCCTGTATGACTGCCTGAGAGACCCTGGAAGGCTTCCCCCAGGGACTGGTACCTGTGTAGAATAGTCAGAAAGCAGGAAGCACAGCGTGGAGCGGGGGAGGCATGTCCTCCTACAACCTTCATCTGCAACTGCTCTTCTGAGGAACCCCTTAGTCTCACGTTCTCCCTTCCCATACTGAGTCACAGTTCTGGCCTTTTCTGTGGAGGCCTAGACCTCAACACTTCCACAGGAAGCTCGCCCTTGGGCCCTGTGTTCAGTTGTAAATGTCATCTGTCTCTTTATTCTGCCAGCCCGCTGTTGAGCTCTCTAATAAAACCAGCGTAAAGGTGGAGGGCGGGTGTTGTGGTGAGGGGCCACAGCAGGCAAAGGCATCTGCCCTCAAGCCTGACAATCTGAGTTCAATCCCTGGAACCCACGGTGGGGAAGGAGTCTCCTGCAAGATGTCCTCTAGTCTCCTTGTGCTCACTGGGGCGCAAACACAATCTTTTTTTTTTTTTTTTTTCGAGACAGGGTTTCTCTGTGTAGCCCTGGCTGTCCTGGAACTCACTCTGTAGACTAGGCTGGCCTCAAACTCAGAAATCCACCTGGCTCTGCCTCCCACCACTGCGCGCCACCACTACCCAGCAAAAGTAGTTGTGTTTATTTGTGTTCTATGCAGCAGGTCAGAGGGTAGGACAGCCGAACCCTTTCCACACTGTCTTCCGTCAGTCCTGCAGTGGGGGACTTTGTTTTATGGCTCTATTTTGCATTTCTTTGATAAGCAATTGCCTAAGAACTACATTTCTTCCCATTTTAAAAAAGAAAATGCTTTACCTTGATTATTAGTATGCCCATATGTCTGAGTGTGAGTCCGAGCATTGCCCTCAGAGGTGGGAAGAGGGCAGGGAAGAGGGCAGAGCATTGGTTCCATGGGAGCTGGCGTTAACAAGCAGTCGTGAGCTACCTGATACCGATGCTGGGACTAGAACTTTGCTCCTCTGCAGGAGCTGTGTGTGCTCCTAACTGCCGATCCATCTCTCCAGCCAAAATAAAATCTTCATTTTTTTTTTTTTTTACAAAGAAGTAGAAGTTCTTAATTTTAATATAATATAACTTATTAACCGGCTTTTGTGTGTTTTACATCATATTTATTTCATGCTTAGTTTTTAGTTTTGCAAAACTTACAAATACCTAAGGTAGGAATTATGCTCTAGGAAATTAGAAGGTACTACCTCAGAGATAATAGGACAGACAAATAAGCCATGTATGTATTTCCTTGACCTAATGTGGTATTACATCTTTGAGCTTAGCAGTGCTTCTCAACCTTCCTGATGCTGTGACACATTTATACAGTTCCTCATGGTGACTTCAACCCATAAAATTATTTTCATTGCTACCTCATAACTATGATTTTGCTACTGTTGTGATTTATAATGTAAATCTCTGTTTTCCAGTGACTTAGGTGACCCCTGTGAACAGGGTGTTTGACAACCCCCCAAATGGGCCGCAACCTGAAGGTTGAGAACCACCTGCTTAGCGCACCTCAAAAGTCAAATGCAAAGATGGCTTTGTTACCCTGTTCTCCTGCCTACAGGTTCTGTAGCTGATGCTGTGAGGATCCAAGCCAACCTGTGAGGAACAGTGTGGGGCCTGATCTTCTGCCGTGGAAAGCACTGACAATGTCTCATCTTACAGGTTACTCGGCGGCCGTTATGACCTCCCGGTTACGTGCGTTGGGTGGAAGAATTAATAATACACGAACCTCCGAATTGCCCAAAGAGAAAACTCGATCTGAGGTCATCTGCAGCATACGCTTTTTAGATGGCTTGGTACAGACCTTTAAAGTTAATGTAAGTTTTCCATAATTTTTTCCTTTCTGCCTAAATCCTCTTATTTTTAAGTTCTTGGTTTACAAAATGAAAAAGATTAGCTGAACAAGGAAAGCCTGGGCTTTCAGAACTGGTGGGATCGAGCCGTGCGTGGGACCTGTGCTCCTGTCTCTTCTTAGGGATGTGAACCTGTTGCTGTCTTCCAATGTTGATATGTCTGGGATGTCTCTCCCCACCCCAAACTCCCCCCTAGGCAGAGCTGGTCCTTGGATGACTGTGTTCTGTATGTGATTTATTCAAGCCCACGTGACTTCATGTTTTTCAAAATAGTAAAAAAAAAAAAAAAATTAGTAGGATAGAAGTGTCCTACTAAAGTGTGAGCCCCCCCGAGGACAAGACTGTCCTAGGACTGGGCATGCAGCTGTGCTCTGTGAGATGGTGGCAGGAGTCCTAAAGGTCCTGGTTGGGTCCTGCTCAGAGCCCTTGATCTCAGGTCCTCACGTAAGCAGCTGTGAGAGGCGAGGACAGCAGCTGTCTCAACTGGCTCCACACACAGCCACCACCTTGCATAGACTTCTGTCTCTCAGGCCTATGGCATCTACTCCAGCCCCAAGTCACCTGTGCCCCAGTTTTATGTGCTGAGAAAGAGAGATGGTAGAGGAGCCGGGCCGGATGTGATGGTAAAGGCCTGTGATTCAGCACTTGGGAGGTGGACTCCAGGGGAGCAGAAGTTTGAGGCCAGCCTGGGCCTCAAATCAACAAATTAAATTGGAGAGGTGGTGACCAGAAAAGGCCATAGCACTTCAACCTTAACAAAAACTGACAGACCCCTGCTGTAGCTGCTACTGCTCCCCTACTCCACCTTCTCCTTTGACAGACAGAGACTCACTATGTGGTCCTTGCTGGCCTGAACTCACTATGTAGACTATGCTGCCCTGGGTTAAAGACTTGCAGGGGTTTTACCCAGTCACCTTGTTCGTTTGCTTTCTCTCTCTCTCTCTCTCTCTCTCTCTCTCTCTCTCTCTCTCTCTCGCTCTCTCGCTCTCTCGCTCTCTCGCTCTCGCTCTCGCTCTCGCTCTCGCTCTCTCTCTGTCCCCTTTCCCTCCCCCCCCCATTTCTGTCTCTATCTCCTTACCACCATTAGTGATCTTAGTGCAGGCAAAAGACAGTTTTCAGTTCTTCCAAACCATGGCCAGGGGAGCTGCCCTGTACTGTGGATGTGAGAATGTTCTCAGCAGCACACGGACCCAGATGTGCAGACAGCAGACAGTGGCAGTGATTAGCAGACTTGTTTCCCAGCCTTCCTCCCCCACCCCCACCCCTGCCCCAGCCCAGCTCTCTTCTTGACCTGTCTCTAAGGCCATGCTCTGCTCTTCTGAAGATGGGAGTGTTATTTATTATCAAGAAAGAGAAGGGCAAAATAGCTCAGGGAGTGAAGGTGCCTGCCACCAAGCCTGACAGGCCTTGGGACCCACATGGTGAAAGGCCAGTTCACCGGGAACGGCATGAGCCCTCGGGGAGGAGAGCCAGAGATAAGTGGAATCAGAAGGTTCCAAGTAGGGATGGGGTGAGAGGCCAGCTGGAGCCTGGGCACACTGGCTTCTACAGGGGATAATGTAGAGAGCTCGGACTTGCAGCCTGACATGGCCTGACTTAGAGTCACTCAGTCTGAAGTAGCCAGGGAGAGAGAGGGCTGAGAGATTACAGCAACAGTCCCCGAGAGAGATTCTGGTGCTGGGCAGAACAGTTTTGAGTGCTTGGCTAGAAGGTGGTACCTGAAAGATAGAGCCAATTGAACCAACTGGCAAGGGCTTGCTGTTCTGTTTTTCTGGTCTAGTTTGTCCTCTATTACCCTTCGCCCACTCCATTCATTCATTCATTCATTCATGGTCTCACTCTATAGCTATCCCCTGCTGGCCTGGAATTCGATATGTAGACCAGGCTGGCCTCAAACTCATATCGATCCACTTGCCTCTGCCTCTGCCTCCAGGATGTTAGGGATGAAAGGTGTGTGCCACTGCACATGGGATTCTATTTTAATTCCTCTGGGAACTAGAATTGACACCTGAATGTTTCTCTAGTTCAGAGGTGAGAGGCTCAGCCCAGCAAGAACACGGGGCTTTGGTGTTGCACAGACTCCAAGTCAGGTGATCATGCAGCCACTGGTTGATGGTGTGGGTGTGCCGGGCATGGCACCTCTCAGTGCCTGGTCCTCCATGGCAAGGCCAGTGTTGGGCTACTTTGTGGGTGTTCAGTGAATTACAGTTACTAATGACACGTTACATAAACACTATCCCAAAACATGTAAGTAATAATTACAATAAGTGAGAAGATAGCTTTAATGAATTAGGAGATTGTCTCGTGTGCTGGAGAGATGGCTCAGTGGGTAGGTAGAGTGCTTGCTCTGCAGGCATGAGGTGTTCAGATCCTCAGCACATACGTAAAAAGTAGCTAATGGTACACATGGCTGTAACCGAGCACAGGGGCTGGGATGGGAAGAGCCCTCGGGCTCACTGAGCAGCCAGTGTGGCTGAAAATGTAAACCTCAGGTTCAGTGAGAAATTCTGTCCTAGATATGAGGGGAGATGTGATTGAACATATCCCAGCATCAACCACTGGCCTCCACACACCCCAGAGGTGAGTGTACCCATAATTGTGCATAACACACACACACACACACACACACACACACACACACACACACACACACGTATCTGAAAACTTGGGGGAATGAGTGGGCTGGATTGTTTTTTAAAAACCCGTGAAGACTCTCTTGTGATTGATGGTGGCAGGTCCAGAGGCCTTCAGGGTGGACAGGTGCTGCCTCCTGAAAATGGCCAAGTTCATACCCAACAGACCAGATCCCATGAAGTCACGCGGAAGCTGCTGCAGGAGTGTCCAGGCGTTACCTCGTTCTCCCCGCCCTGGTCTCTGCGACCCACTTTCTGCACGTTGTCTGCTCTTAGAAGCTCACAGGAAGAGCCTCTTCTGTACCTGTCTATTTCTGACTTGCATTGTCCTGAGTTGAATGGGTTGGGTTCAAAGCATTCCTGGGAGGTCAACCTCTGAAAACAGAATTTGAAATCTCCCAAGTGCTCCGCGCCTGTTCTGTGTGCGTGTCTCACGGCGTCCCAGCTGTCTTTTGTTTGTGCAGTCAGCTTCAGATTGGGTGGGTCCACTAGAAAGATGGGAGGGGTGACACTCCACCCTGTTACCCTACTAAACTAACAAGGGTTCCTTGTCCTTGTCCCCAGGTGTACCCCACTGTCCATACTGTGTCCTCTAAGAAATCTGTCTACTGTGCCTTGACCGGTTCAAAGCACTTGACAGCGTTTTACACTCCATGTTAGTCACCCCTCCTGCAGCCAAGCAAGGAAAGAGGTGCTTCCTGTGGCACTGTCCCAGTGCCCACATGGGACTGCCCCATAAACACTGGTGCAGGCTGCTGTGTCCCGCTCTGGAGTGAAGTGTGGCTAAATGTCCCCACCGGCTTCTCACTTCAGATGACGAGAAGCAGCAGGGCAGATAATCCCATGGGGGACACAGGCCAAGTCACTTTGAGGGTATTTTGGATGGCATTCGAGTATTTTTAGCTGTTAGTAGAGAGTTTTCCTCCCTGCACACTCTCTGGGTTCCTCCAGGGGAAGGAGCTGCAACTGGGCCCCCAGCAGCCAACAGGAGCTGACCTGGGATTAGCATTTGCTGTGGGTAATCCGCAGCAGGTCATGGCGTGTTTGCTGTATAATGTGTGAGTTTTCCAACTTAGAAGTCACTGGAGAACCTTAGCTAAGGATGGAAGCAACCTAAGAAAGCTAAGTTAAGCTCGCTTATTCTCTCTCTCTCTCTCTCTCTCTCTCTCTCTCTCTCTCTCTCTCTCTCTGTGTGTGTGTGTGTGTGTGTGTGTGTTTATGTAGAGGCCAGAAGACAACCTGAAATATTATTTCCCAGAAGCCTTCAGTCTTTCATTGGCCTGGAGCTTCATGAGTTGGTTAGGTTGACCAGGCTTGCAAGAGGCCAATCAATATTGGATATCTTCGTTCATTATTCTTTATTTTATGTTTTTTAACATTTTGTCTGTCTGTCTGTCTGTCTATCACCTATCTTATCTAATCTGTTTACTTATTTGAGACAGAGTCTCACTGTGTAGCCACAGCTGGTCTGGAACTCCCTATGTAGACCAGGCTGGCTTCACATTCATAGAGATCTGCCTGCCCCTGCCTCCTGAGTACAAGGATTGAAAATGTGCATCACCACTAAGATACATTTTTATTTTTGTGTCTCTGTGTTAATAGTGTACGTGCAGTCACAGGCCAGAAGAAGGCATTATTAGGCCCCCTGTAGCTGGTGTTACAGTTGTGAGCTGCTTGGCTTTGGTGCTAGGAACAGAACTTCAGTCTTCTGCAAGTTCTGGAAGCATTCAACCACTGAGTCATCCGTCTAGCCCCTGCCTTAGTTTTTTGAGATGTGATCTCACTGAACCTGAAGCTTCCATATTCAGCTAGAGTGCTTGGCCAGCAAGTTCCAGGGTTGTGTCTTCCCCCGTACACACACAGGTTCTCACGCTTGTAAGGCAGGGAGTCTACCGACCTTTCTCCTCAGTCCCTTAAATCCAGAGTGTCTGAAAGCGTATTAATGTAGTTTGTCTTAACCTTACTACCGTATCCCTCCTTGCAGCCTTGTAACCCAAAATTTATTAATGCTTTTGTTTCTGTGGGACGTATTTATTCATAAAATCTCAGAAAATTGTACTTTCTCTTTTACCTACTGTTAAAATAATTGTGACTTCTATTTCTTGGTTCATTTTAATACTTGATGGTTTTCATCTAGAAACAAGATTTGGGCCAGTCCCTTCTGGATATGGCCTATGGCCACCTGGGCGTGACGGAGAAGGAATACTTTGGCTTGCAACATGGCGATGACCCAGTGGACTCTCCTGTAAGTGCTTACATGTAAGATGTGCCGCTTCCCTCCTTGGGTTGGTTTCATAGCTTATTTTTCTCACTTAACAGAGATGGCTTGAGGCAAGCAAACCCCTCAGGAAGCAGCTGAAAGGTGGGTATGATCTCGCTTCGCTTGGTCATGGGATGTATGGCAAACTGTCTTCCCCTCATTGGGGACTTAAGGGGTGGTGGGTTCGGGGTCAGGGAGAGATGCTTCAGAGCAGCCTTGAGGGTGAGGGGAGAGGAGGCGGCTCAGGACAAGGAGCATTCAGTTGTTTTTCTAAGGAAGCAAGTGGATGAAGGATAATCTTTTTTAGCCTAGTATACGAGAGACATAGAAGTGCTGGGGTGATGTCTTAGGTGGTAAAACTGGTGGCTGTACAAGCTTAGGGACCTGAGTTCAGATCCCTAACACTAACTTAAGATGCTGGGTACTGTGGAGCGTGCCCATAATCCCAGCGCTGGAGACGAGACAGGAATTCCTGGATTTTGCTGGCCAGACTGTCTAGTCAGAAAGTGAGCTCCAGGCTTAGCAAGAGACCCTGTCTCAGAAAACGAAGATGGAGAGCAGTGGTAGACGACCCCTGACGTCAACCCGTGCCCTCATGTGCACATGCAGACACCCGCACACACACACACATGCACACATAAAGGGAGACCGGCACAAACTCTCATCATTTCCAACAGCACAGATGCTGGTTCATCCATAATGAGTGGGCCTCTCTCTCTATTGCTCTCAGCTCCCAGTGGGACAGCTACTCCAGCCATGCCCAACCTGTCCCCTGGGCAGCCCTTCACATCCTGGTTTCCCTCATGGCTCTTGTTGGCCCCATATGTACCTAGTGTCCCAGACTAACTTGACTAGTCTGCAGGACTCTGTCTGAACCACCCTTCAGTCTCCTCTCTCTCTAGTAGATTCGTTTCTCCTTGTCCCTAAGCCCATCTCCTGCTATTCCTCAGGGCTCCTCAGATACTTCCTGTTGTCTGAAGGGAAGTGCTACCTCTCCTCTCCCCTCTCATTTCTTCGCCCTTGTGGCTGAGCACTCTTGCTGTCCCTTCACAGTGAGGTGCTTTAACTGCCTCTCAGGACTGTTCTGCTCAGCTCCTGACCCTTCACGATTCTTGACACACAGGAGGTGGCCAGTCACGAGAGGCAACTGTTTGTCATCCTCTCTCTGGCTTATCCTTGCAGCAGACACATCCCCAGTGCTCAGACCAAGGCAAAGCACTGTGCTGAGCCTGGGAAATGCAGTCCAAACCCCATTTGAACCCTGCTATCATGGTCAAGTGTAGAAGTAGAAAAGAGGAATTCCATGATAGTACTCTGTACACCCACGCACATGGACACACACACACACCCTCACTCACGCTCTGAATACACAGAAGAAACAAGAAAAACAGAGAGACCTTGCCTGAGACACCAAAATAACAGTGATAGAAGCGGGAAGACTGAGGAGGTAAGACAAAGACAGGCCATGGAAAAACTTTGCTACAGAGCTAGCGCCACCCACTGGCAGCTAGGTGTGTATACAGAGGCACACAGCTACCGTCAAAGATTCTTTTGGTACCAGCCCAGAGGTGACAAAGGAAGGAACTAAGAGATTTAGGGGATGTGGGGGAGGTGTAGAGCCAAGATGAACAAGGCAGAAGGCAAGATGAGCAGAAGGATCGGCCAGCTGGGCAGCCCACAGAAGGACTTGGATTTCAGAGAGCCCGAAAGTGCTACCTGAGCCTGCAGACAGGACCTTGGCATATTTACCAAGAAGTCAAAAGGTCTCCTCATGTCTTGGCAACATGTCTTGATCTTCCAATGCCCTAACCCTAACTGGTCTGATCTTGTATCAGACACGTGGCTAGTTTTAGCCACAAGCAAACTGGCGCTTGGTTTTGATGCCTGCGTAATATCTGAGTGACTTGTGTGGCACTCAGAATCTCGGTGACTATTTTAATACACTCTGAACTGAAATCGTAAAAATGGTTTCCAGTTTCAAAAAGAAAAAAAAAAACATCAAGTCAGAAACTTCAGTGCTACCAAATGTTCTGGTCTTGTCACTGGCTACCTAATCCAGAGAGCTGTTTACATTTCTCCATCTGTAAAGTAGGACCACTTAGCATGCAGGCAGCCATGGTGGTGTCAGGGTTCTAGATGCTACCTGGAGACATTGGGAAAGCATAAGTCACTATGTAAATGTAAGCAGCTGCTGTTCTTTGTGAGATTTATGTATAGATGCTAATTTAAGACTTTTAAACATTCTTAATACAGATATCCTTGTTTGAACAGGGCCCTAAGGCAAACATACAGCCGGAAGTGGGTGGTACCACCATTGAAGTATGCTATATAAATACTTTTGGTGTACTTGGAGACTTCTAAACAGTTAACTTAAACATTCTAGATTTGAAACCGGGGCTTTTATAATGGGTAGCTTGTGGTGGAGTGATAAGTATTCCCTTAGGGAGAGCAGCAGCTATGTTCATGGACTTTTTTGTTGTTTAAAGGGAAAACCTAATTTGTTTTTGAAAAATGTTGTAGGAGGTTTCCCCTGTACCCTGCATTTTCGAGTAAGATATTTTATACCTGATCCCAACACACTGCAGCAGGAACAAACCAGGTAATAACCTTTTCCTCTTGACATTCTCTGTCCAGTATATGCAAATTAGTAGCTGCCAAAAGTGTACTCTTTGTTTTCTGGCTATGGACAAGTAACTTGATTGGGTATAACCGCCAACCATCATGAAATCAAGTAAAAATTGGATTGAAATTATAATCACAGGTTTGTTTTCAGTTTGTGGCCTACATCCTTCTGCCCCAGTCTGGTAAAATGCATGTGGGTACCTTCGCACCCTCTCTCTTCCTGCCTTTATCTGGTAAGCACTGTGAATACCAAGGTTGCTAAGTCAATTCTTGTATTGCAGGCCTGGAGTAGGGCAGTCACCCAGGGGGCGAATAGTATGAAATCTGAGGGATTGAAGTACCTTGGGGATGACAAGACTTAGCTGAAACCAGAACTTTCCACCAGGTCTCCGTTTGTAGGGGTGAGGAAGGAGAACGGGTTCTGGCTGGACCTGGCTTGTCTGCTGGGTGAATCAGCTGGTGTAGGAAGTTTGTGAGGCAGATAAGAGAAGGAAGGCTGTGATAGGAGCTGTTTACCCTGCAGGGCTTGCAGGCTAGGCTGGCTCTGGTTGGTCCTGGCAAGTGATTTTTCTGGGTGGGGAAACTGGAGTATGCAGGGTGGGAAGGGTACACTGAGAAAGCTATTACCTCAGGATGGGAGATGGGGCCAGCCGCTTCCCCTGTCTCATGCCCATGCTGAGTCTTTCTTTAGTATCCCTTTGCTGTTCTAAAGGAGGGAAGCTGTCTCCCTGGGATGAAGCAGAAGCTGTTGTTCTAGGTTATTGAGACCCATTTTATCTGAAAATCATACCAAAGAGATGCCATTAGCTCAGACATAGAATGTTCTCTCAGTTTTTAGTTTCTTCTCTTTTAATGATAATTACACATCGTATTTTAGCTTTTGATATGTTTAAAGGCCAGTTGTTGGTTTATTACTCTGTTTTTCCTGCTTCTGTATATATTACTTTTCTCCACAGAAGCAGGTCTTGGGGTGGGATTGCGTTTATCACTTCGGTAAATGTGAAGTCTGTGTCAGGAAGGCCTAGGTGGCTCGTTGGGAAAGCACAGTGACGTGCCTGCTGCTTTGAATGATTTTGGTGCCTACCGTCCACCTTCCCCCTCCCCCCCTCCCCCACATGCACACTCACACACCACATTGCTCTGGACTAGGGACAGTGTGGAGACATTCAACCCAGCATGTCATGTCATAAGTTAACTGACATAAAACTGGTGACATCATCTGTCAGTATGTGTTTGAAACTACCTCTCTAAGGTTTCCTCAGAACAGTACGAAATAGTTTGGTTGAGGGATGCTTTTTAGTTACATGAAGAGCCAGACAGAATGGTACGCACCTCTAATTGTTACTGGGGAGGCAGAGGCAGGAGGGGTCCCTTGAGCACAGAAGTTTTAGGCCAGCCTAAGCAACCTAGCAAGACCCTATCTCAAAAAACCAAGATGAAAATGTATGTGTATGATCACTTGACAGCGGTCCTCTATATCTCATCCCTGGAACGATGGAGCCCCGGGTGTATGGGACTTCGTATGCACGCTCAAGCTTTCAAGTGGAAAGGCTTGAGGGAGATGCCCCAGGACCAGCCTCATCTCATGGTCCCCTCTCGTGCCCTTCACAGCCATCGGCTTCTACACCCCTTAGGAAGGAAGTGAGACCTGTGGAGTGGGCGTCACTGTCTCCACGTTCATCCAGGGAGCCTCCAGGGAAATGTAGAGTGGAGAGAAGCCTTGTGGAAAAGTGAGGCCATCTTCAAACCCCCAAAGTAGCTGCGGGGATGGGGAGCAAGCAGGGCTACAATGGGGAGTAGGCTTTAGCTGGAGATGAGTATAGGCCTAGTAGACTAGTATTTGTTCTAACCGAAGTTACAGGTCAGTTAGGTCTGTCTGTGTTACTCTTGCAAGTCACTGGTTCTAATCTGACATCCACCCCCACTCCATGGCCCACTTTCCACCCTGAGGTGCACAGTGGACAGTCAGTCCACTAATTCCCCTTGAGCAGCAGGTACGAGGTATCTCTGACTCCGCAGGAACAGGGGCAGCGCAGTGCTCTACAGTTGGTGAGCCTCTGGGACTATTTGATCTTTTTCTTAGCATTGGGCTTGGATTCCTCACTTAATTCACACACTGGGTTGATTTTTGTTTTGTTTTGTTTTATATGAAGGTTTTACCTATATTCCTGGCTTATGCTCTAGGTTTGCACCCTGTCCAAAGAGGACTTTCCTTTGAAGGAGGCTTGGCTCCCAAGAGTTCAGAGAAGGGATGCAGTGATGGTGGTGTTGGTTATTTTGTTTTTTTATCTAGGAAGGGGGTCAAATCATTGGAGTTTTTTGTTTTTGTTTTGTTTTTGTCTTTCTGAAGCTGAGGTCTGTTCCATTTTAAGTTCTGTTACTGTGGTAAAATATCCTACCAAAACCAACTTAGGGGAGGGAGGAGTTTGTTTCAGCTCACAGTTCCAGATTCAAGTCCGTCACTTTAAGAAAGTGAAGGGAGAAACGTGAGGTGGTTGGTCACATCAGCATCCGCAGTTGAGAACACACATATTCTCTTACTTGTGTTCAGATCAGTTTCCTCACTTCTTAGGGAATGGGGCTGCCCACATTGGGCTGGGCCTTCCCATATCAATTAACTTATTTAAGGCTGTCCCATAGACATGCCCACAGGACAACCGGATGTAGACAGTACTCCTTGGAGGCTTTCTTCCTAGGTGATTGTCATATTGACAGTTAGCCATCTCAGGAGCTGGATGGAGTACTCTCAAAAGGGGTCAAACATTTCTAAAGTTAGACGTGCCGAGTTCTCCTATTGATAGCTTTTCTTTCTTCTCAAGGATACGTACGTGTCTGTTTATCGTGAGCCTCCACAACTGCTGTCACTGGTAAATTTAGATCCTTCTGAGCAGCATTCCACTTACCGACAATCTCTAATGACAATTTGAGCTCCCTGAAGAAAATGATAAAGCCTTCTAAGGGTGGGACGCATTCCACGATTCTCATTTCTTCACATGTGATTCTGTGGGGTTGGTTCGGATGTGCTCTGCAAAGGACCAGGTGGCGTTTGGTGAAGAGTCTCCGAATGGTCATGGTCTCATTTGTGCCCGTCAGTGAAAGCACAGGTTTTACCAGTGGATCATTTATAACACCGCCCCTCTCTTCTTTCCCCCAGTATCCTTCCAGGAGGAGAGAACACTTAATTCTGGTTGAATGTTAGCCTGGATAAACATAGAAACCAACTAGAAAGAACTGGTTATGTTCTCCCAGATGGAAAAGATGATCCCACTACTGAGTGGGCATGAATTAGCACAAGTATTTCATTATTGTGACCAAATTTTTAAACAAGAAGCTATTTAAGGGAAGAAGGCCTGGTCTTGGCTTACAATCCTAGAGGCTATCTTCCATCACGATAGAGGGCGTGGGTGTATGATCACAGCATACCCATGGTCAGGAAACACAGATGAATACCTGATCGGCTCACTTCCCCCCTTTATTTGGTCTGGGATCTCGGTTCAGGATTTTATGCCTCTCAGATTGAGGGTGGGTCTTCCATTTTCACTTAAACCTTCTGGAAATGCCATCAGATACACCCAGAGGTGTGTTTCCATGGTGATTGTAAATCCAGTCAAGTAGACAAAAAGGTTAACCACTCATGCCCATGTGAATAATACCATCATCGGTGTCCAATGTTTAACACAATACAAAATGGTGAGAATTGTGTCAGAGTTATGATATAGATCCTAAACTTAGTGATGACGTCTGCAGCCCACAGAGATTGTTCTTGTTGCATGTCTGTCCAGGATAAAAGAAGGCATTTCTTCAGATTGGCAATTCTGACTATAGAGGGTTTATTCAGGTGTATATTCTTGAGGCCTGCTTAGTTTTGTAGTGTGATTTTTTTTATTTGCAAGTTCTTTATCATAGAAGTTTAATAAGTTAAAATAGAGATGGTGTTACAGCCTCATAGATTTCACTGGGAGGCTGACATGAGGAAGAAAGTCACAGAGTACCAGGCACCCAGCCTCAGACTGCACACAGGAGCTTGCAGTGCGTTTGAAACATCTAGGTCTCAAAACAGCCAGCTCCGTGACCTTTGTCAACCCCAAGGAATATGAGACTGGTTTGTTTAAATCGCCAGAATGATCTCTGCCCCACCCCAGCACTTCTGCGCCATCTGTATTAGCTTTCAGGAGGCTTCCCTTTTGTCATCTTTGGCCAGACCCTGGAATGTCAATCCCGCTTGAATCTGGGTTTTAAAAAAGAGTGGGAGATAGGAGCCAAGCGTCACATGTATGCCGCGTCCCTAAATATAAATGCCTCCATGGTGCTTCCTGGCCTTACCAGGGCTCTTGATGCTGGCCTCCTTTTGCTCTCTCTGTCCCAGGACAAAGATGCAGCCTGCAGGGCTCAGGGGCCTGGAATAGTTTGCCCCCGGGACAGCTCCAGGCTTTCAAAGCTGACTCTGATGCTTGCAGGTCCTGATAACTAGGCTACTTTTCCTCCAGCTCCCATGGTTCTTAGGCTTCAAGGAAAAGCCCAGCTGGGTGTTGCACTCCAGCCAACCTGTGATCTTCACAGACCCACCCCCTCTTAGCAGTTTCATAGAGGAATGGGTGTGTGTGTGTGTGTATGTGTGTGTAAGTACCCATGTTTAGAACAATGGTCTGTAAGTGTGTGGGCAGCTTGTACAGAATGCTGTGGGTCCCTGTGCAAAAAAAGCCCATGCAGCAAGCTGGGGGAGGGGAACACTCTTAGCTCCTACCCCATTTATCCCCTCAGCCCTCCCTAGCACAGAGGCACCTAGACAGTTTACAAATAGGTAAAATGGTATTTGCATATACTCTGTTTTTCAAATGTGTGCTTTTGTCGTTCTTGCTTGCTTATCAAATTTTGAGCGCTTGCTAATAAACACCTTTGTTTCCCAGGCATTTGTATTTCTTACAACTGAAGATGGATGTTTGTGAAGGAAGGTAATGAGAATTTTGAATTCTTCTTTTCCTGTCAGACTAGCCAGGTTCCTGGTTTTAATCTAATGAACATGCATTCCTGGCAACAGGATTCAATTTAAACCAATCCTGTATGTTAGGCTGCTTTCAACTCCCTCTTGGTTTACAGAGGCTAATGATGGAGAAACTCCATTCCACTTAACCACAATTTTATACAAAACACACAGTGATCTTTCTGGTAAAGACTTGGGGAATTTTAAAAGGGAAGGAAAGATTCTGAATGTAAAACAGGCTTAGGTGTAAGTTAGAACCACTTCTGAGACCGTGGTATTTATGGGTGATTTGTCTTCTCTCTGGGAGGAATTGTGTTCAGATGAGCATCTGCGTGTGAGTCAGCATACTGGGTGTATGTGTCCAGGCCGTTTCAGTGCTTGGAAGGTGTCTGAGACTGGCCAGAAACAGAATTAAAATTCCAAGCCTACAAAATACCATCTTCCAAATCCTTAGTATCTTCTTTTTAAAAAGGTTTTTTTTTAATTTATTATTAGAGATAGAGTGGAGTGTATTTGTGCATATGCATTTGCCCACGTGTACATGTATTCACACTAGTACACATGTGTGCCATCAGTTCTCTCCTTGCACCTTTACAAGGGTTCTAGGGATTGAACTGGATTCACTAAGGCATTTGCAGCAAGCACCCTTACCTGCTAAGCCCTCTTCCCTGCCAGCCCCTTAGCCATTTTTTTTTAACCTCATGAAGAAAACCGCAGCAGGAGAAGGGCCTATTTACTTCAATTCTCCACATCCCCACTTCCTCCTATGAGTTTAGTTCTACTGTAGACGGTCATCAGAGGCCATTGGCCTGCTGCATCACAAGGAGGCTGGCAGTTGTGACTCATGACCTTAGGCAGGAAGCCCATGAGCCAAATGAGACCCATATGGGCAGTGGGAATCCCAGTTGGCCTAGGGTTTCAGGAGCTCTGCTGCTACATGGCCTAGAAAAGTCTCTGTGGGGTGCTGGAGATAAGCCAGGTTTAGGGTTGATGGAGAAAGGAGATTTCCCTAGACAGCAAGAAGTCTCCCCCATTCCAGCTGGAAGCCATAGGTGGTTGACTTGCAGAAAAACAGGGAGAGAAGGGGCTTCTCATGCCCACTGCAGGCGTGTGTCTCACGCCCACAGACTCGAGCAGCTGCAGGGTATTAAAGCAGGCAGGAGGTTGTGATAAGACGTCCGTCTGGAGGGACTGTGTCCATGTGCAGCAGGACAGATTGGAAGAGACCAGAGCTTCCCTCTGCTACAGTCCGGCCGGCCAGCACCTCCTTGAAGGGGCGCGGGCAGAACAGTTGACTACTTGGTGATCACCGAGTTTCAGATCTTCATGAATTCTGTGTATCGCTTCCCCAAGGTTGAACAGTAGTGCCTCCTTGCTCCAGCACAAACTGTAGACCGGGTGCTGAGGGCTCCTCTTTGTTGAGATAGCCTCATTATACTTCAGGAGAACCCGTTGTTGAAAGGCCTAGCCCTCTTGAGCTGTTCTTTGCAGTCATGGAAACCTGGTCCAGGGCTCCCTTGTATGCAGATGCTTTGTTTTTCCATAAATACGGTTCTCGCACCCATTATGAGGCAGGTTCCAGCCTGTGCTGGCCACCAGGCCAGGGCCTCCCCTTCAGCCTTCCCCAATCTCCATACTCTGGTACTACACTGTCCTCCTTTTTGCTTTTCCAAACGAGATGCCCTTTGGAATTTCCAGCTAAGTTGGTAGGAACCCGCATCCTGGATTCGATCCACCTAGAGCCTTGTCATTGTCACGTCTCAAGTGGAGACATGTCTCCACCCGCTCTCCAGCTCCAAGGGTGGTGTTGTGAGGGTAGCATTTTCCTTGAGATATCAGATCTTCTGACTTGTCCGAATAGTCACTGGTAGCCAGTGCAGTAGGAGCGTCTCTTCTCTGCAGAGATGGCTCATCCAGGTCAGTCCCCTCACTTGACACCTAGAGGCCTGAACCACAGAGACAAAGACATGTGTACAGGAGCATGGAATGCTGAGAGGGAGTACAGGCTGCCGTTGTCCTCTACTGTGTATTATGAGCACTAATCATTCTTTGAAAATTTCTTTTCTTCAGTCTCCGTAGGCTCTTTTCGTCTAGTGTGAGCATTCATAGCCTGTTTCTAGGCTGTCCCCCAAATCCACTCAGCTTCCATCCTCTAGCAAAGGCTAGATGTTAAGTGAAGCTCGTCTTAGTAGGAGACTGGTAGCCTGTGTCTATCACCGGTTCTGAAGATAGTGTCGCTCAAAACAGATAACGAACAACCCTAGGGCACATCCATAGACTCAGAGAGACACAGATGTCTGCAGGGCCACACAGAGATACTCGTGGTCATCAGGCCTTCAGATAGGGACTGCTACCTTCAGATGAACCTTCAGAACCATTGGAGTACAGTGAACAGACAGGGAAACTGCTGGGGGCCAACCATATTACACTAGCAAATGGGATGACTCATGTGGGATCTTCATGGGCTACCATGGAAACTACATGCTCTCCCAACTTGCCACGGGACTGGAAGACACTTTTAAAATCTTCTTGTCTCAATGTTGCTGGTAAGGGTGGCTGCCGCTGCTGCTGCCCCTAGCCTTTCTCAGCCCGTTCTTGAGTTCAGCAGTAGCCCTTGCTCCTGGCCTGCCTTCAGAGCTTGAACAGAACAGAGTCAGATTTGAAAGGAGAAAAGAGCAATAAAGGCAGGTAGCATCACTGAGAACAGGCATTGGGAGGACAGAGGCAATAAGAGCAAATCCAGGCCAAGTCTGGATTTCTAATGGAGGACAGGGAGGGAGGCAGAGATGGATGAACCCTGTCAACCTCAGCAAGGTCAGCGGGTTTAGGAGTAGTCAGTAGTTAGTGAATTAAGTAATTTAATGACAGATTTACAAATATTAAAATACAGAATTCCTCCCCCTAGCTCCCTGTGTTTTCCATTTTTATAAGATAACACCATTCCAGGAAGGAGTTACCTAAGGGTCCTCCAGTCTCTAGGAACTCTTAAGACATAGAGCCCTACAGAAAGTCTCAGGTCTTTATTAGAAAGATCAGAAGGCTGCAGACTTATCTCAGATTCTATTTTCTCACTTCTCTTACAGTATGAATGTACTGTCCAATACCAGACCATTAGGTTCCTGGTATTGGTGACACTTATCATTTTAAACCAAAAGTTGTGTGTTTTATTTCAAAAAAAAAAAAAAACCAACTCTTTACTGTATTCCATGTGCCGTTCAAGATTGATTTGTGTCTGAGTTGCCTTTAAGACTCACATTGCTCGTTAACAGTTAATGGAGAAAAGAAAGCCATGGGCCGTCTGTGATTTATGAGTGTCTGTGGTTCTTCTGACTTAGCTAATTCTTCTTTCTCCTGACAGGCTAACCTGCCCTCTCAACTCAGCAGTGGTTCTAGCATCCTATGCAGTACAATGTAAGTCCTGAGGGAGGTTGACTAGGTGATGGCTGGCTCATCACTGGCTGTTCCCTGAGGAAGTCTCTTCCCCAGGATGCTGGGATGGAGTATAACTCTTGCTATCCTAATAGTAAAACTTTTAACCTGAGCCACACTCTCCTCTTGCTTGGGGAGATCAGATGGACAGTGGTGCGTAGGGGGTGGGGGGGGATGGTGTGGTATTTCCCCCCAGGGAGCTATGAAACAGCAGACAGCTACAACCAGCTTTTTCCAGAGCCTCTGCCCAGGTATTTGGATCTGGTCTCCGTACAAACCCCAGTGGAACAATATTTATATCCCTCCCCTCCTCTGAACATGGAAACCAAGACCTGGCTAGGTTAAGGAATTTGCTGGAAGGCACTCTTGCTGCTTGCTTGATACCTATCTAAAATGCTACTGAGAGCTTTCAAATTTATATTCAGAGCTTCAGTGTAGCTAGTGGGTTATACACTGGTCTATGACCATTCAGAAACAGGAAGATCACAAGTTCAAAGTCATCTTCAGCTCCATGGTAACTTCAAGGCCAGGCTGGACTACATGAGGCCCTCCTTTAAAAAAACAAAAACACAACATATACATACATATATGTATACTTATATACATATATGTATATATATAATTTGAAGGCTTTATTTAGCCCATTTAAATATAATTTTAATATATAATCAGCATAAAAAATGAATGAGCTATGGGGGGTGTTGTTCTGTTTGTTTTGCTTTGCTTTTTAACTAAATCTTTGGGATCCAGTCTTGCTTTTGAAATTTCCACACTTTTCCAGTTGAACAAGCCACACTGGGTAAAGAATTCTGACCAAGGTTTTTTAAAACTCCAGAAGAAATCTCTTCATCCTGTCAGCAGAACTTAAGTAAGCATACTCGGTGTCAGATCCCATGCAAGGTGAAATGGCACTTTGCCATTCATTAGCTGTGTGGCGCCTGCCTAGAATACCCTGTTGGTTGTATAGAGTCATATAGTTTATCATAAGACTGAAGAGTCCCCTCTGCCTTTCCAGAAGTCTCAGCGCACAGCATGGCAGGTGGCTAAGAAAGTAAGATGATCAAGTCTCAGCAGGTGCAGGCCAGATTACCCATTTGTATTGTGGCCTCAGAAGCAAAATGGCAAGAAAAGGAAGGGAGGGAGGGAAAAAGGAAGGAAGGAAGGGAGGGAGGGAGGGAGGGAGGGAGGAAGGAAGGAAGGAAGGAAGGAAGGAAGGAAGGAAGGAAGGAAGGAAGGAAGGAAGTCAGACAGGAACACACTTGGGCAACTGAGGAGGCCCCAGGTGTACTTCCTCCCTGAGCATCAAGGACAGAAACAAGAGGGATGAAGAACAAGCCTGGTGGGTCCACAGCTTACATGCCTACTGCATGGAGCCAGAGAGTAGAGGAACGAGGATGTTGAGGTGACCCCATGATGTCACGCATAACAGCAAGCCTCCTCACTGGTAAGACACACTCAGCCTCAGCTCCATCCCACCAGCCTCCTCTTCTCATGACAAAAAAACTCAGAAGTTGTCCTCTGGGACAGATCAGTGTGTTGCATCCACTGGGAAGACATGGACCAGGAGATAGGGCACCAACAACCAACCAAGAAAACAATACGATCCAAGTCCAGCTTAGTGAACTGCTAGGTTTATACTTTTTTTTTTTTTCGAGACAGGGTTTCTCTGTAGCCCTGGCTGTCCTGGAACTCACTCGGTAGACCAGGCTGGCCTCAAACTCAGAAATCCGCCTGCCTCTGCCTCCCAAGTGCTAGGATTAAAGGCGTGCACCACCACCGCCCGGCATTGGTTTATACTTTAAAAGAGTGTGGCTGACTTCAAAAAGAGCTGTATTACAGAGTCTCACCCAACATGGATGGCCTCCCCAAGCTGCACAAATGGAGCCATCCTTTCAGCTAACATTCCACCTACTGTGTACTTCAGCACCGTTTGAGACCAGGAAGAGCTGGGACAGTAAGAATGAGTGGCTGTAATAATTCTCCTTACTCCTTTTAGGAGGGAAAGTCAGGGTGAGGCTTTGGGACTATAGTCACAGCTGCTGTGATTAAGATGATGTCTGCCATGTCATGACACAGGGCAGTGATCTATTAACACACAGCCAGAGTCAGTGTGTCCTCATCAATCTCTAGACTTGTGGCTCCCATTTCTTCTGGGCTGATGGGTGACAGAGGCAGGGACCCTTCTCACATTGAAGCAATGCCTGGATGTTCACAGCTGGAGCATCTGGGCTGAGTGGCAAGAACTTGAGGAAGGAGAGAATTATGCTCAGTTTAACCTTGCCCTATTCATTTGTCCCTGTGAGATTACCTGGCTGAACCTCAGGCTTCCCACCTGTGAATGGAGGCCTCTGGTCCTTATTCAACATGGCTGATTAAACAGGGCATTTGAAGGTGGCCTATAGCCAAAAAAAATAATCCCTTAATACTGAGCCTACACTGACTGAGTCGGTGAGAACAGGAATGGAAGCCACATCCCCTGGGGTCTTAGCTTTTCCTCTCATATGCATGGCTTGACCTTCCAGGCCTCATGTGGTGAGCAGGACTGGAAGTGTCTGTTCTACTTTGTAGGGCTGTAGGGGAGAGAACACTGAACCACGGTCTGAAGCACTCTTCTGGTAGTCTTAACTCTTGGTGTCTTTTCATGTCAGTCCAGAAGAAAACTGCGTTAAGTTGTGTATAAGGTAGGAGAGATGACTCCTTGCATCAAAGCGCCCGCCACCAACAAAGCCCGTCAGTCTGAGGTCAGTCAAGAAACCCACAGTGAAAGGAGAGAACTGATTCCTGAAAGTTGTCATCTGACCCCCACACATACCATAAAGAATAAAATTAAATGTAAAACTTGGCCATGATAAGCAATATGCTAAAATTAGAGAAAAATTAAAGTCCTACATTCAAGACATCCTGTTCCAAGCTTCTCCCGTCGGGCTTCCCACTGTGGAGGACTGATAGAAGAGCCACTGAAGACAGTCCCAGAACCTTTAAAGGTAGAAACTGGCTGAGGCTGAAACTCAGCGTTGCTGTCCTGCTAACAAATCTTGGGTCATCATACAGACTGTTTGAAGTCTAAGCTCTTTATATTCCTATAGACTTGATAAATGAATATACAGGTATTTGTATGCTCTGCATACATTTCTTAGAGGATTGATTCTTAGTTTTATATTCCTCTACCTTGATAAATGAATAACCATGTATTTGCATGCTCTGCTAACATTTCTTACGGGACTAATTCTTGCATATAAAATTAGTGGTTCGGGAGGTATACTAAGTACATTTTGTCTGATACATTTTGCCAGGTTGTTTCAAGATGGGTGTCTAGTATTTAAAACCTATCTGTGATCTGCTAACCTAAGCAGTTTCTTATTAGATCAAGAATTACAATGTTCAAAAGAGAAAATACTTCAAGCCCAGTGACTGAAGATTGCTGCTGACTAGTCAACGGCTTATGAGGCATACATAGACAAAAAAAAAAAAAAGTTTGGGAAATATATAGTTACTCTGTAATGTTTCCCGAGCCTCTGCCACAAGCAGGCTCTGTACCAGCCTCAGGATGAAGGGAGCTCTGCAGCCTACTGGGGTTGAGGAAGGGCACAATGTGTGCCCTATCCTGCTTGGGGAAGGGAAGGGAGTCTAGAAAATATCAGAGAAATGAGCCGCAAGAAATGGCTCCAAGATGAAGTTAGAGTTAGAAGAATAGCAAATGGAGGTCCTGCTCACTGGATCACTTGAAACATGGATACCTGGGATCTCAAACTTGGGGCATGTATTCACAGACAGATAAGACAGGCCCTGCAGGGACACAGGTACTACCTTTTGTCTGTCTTCTCATCTGTTTATTAAGAGCCATCCATGCTGTGTGGGTTGTGAGGGGCATTTGCTCAAGCCCTCTCGAGTGATAGGATGTCATTGACACCGTTGGCAGTCCCCCCACCCCAAGGCTCTTGCAAATGTGTATAGCTGTGGCTGTTAACTGTTTCCCCCTAGTGGTTATCCCAGAGCCCTGTGCAGGGTAGCTGCATAAGATTTCAAGTGAAAAACCACCCCGAGGGCAAGGTTCGCTGCTCTCACATTGATCAAAATGTTTGTCAGTGACTTTGCTAAAGCAAGGAACTTACAGTTTATTCCTGTTGAGTGCAAGCTGAGTGAGTCTGAGTACCTAACAGGACAGATAGCCGACAAATGATTCAGAAGGCTCTCTCTGAGTTAATGAAACTAACAGGAAAATTAAAGAGATTTCTGCCTTTTAGGCTTAGGAAAAGCATTGGCAGCATCTTGTAGGCCTTTCTAGGACATCAAGAGAAGACTCATCAGCTCACTGGACAGACAGACGTGAAGTAGGGTGCTTACCTAGATCCCTCTCACCTAGATCTTTACTTTGCTGAAAATAGCCTGGGTTAGGGGTCCCTTCTCCCTGGGTCTCAGTTTCTTCCTCTTTAAATGTGAACCCTGATGAAAATATATTAACGCATTCCTCACTCTGCGCCCTGTAAGAGCATCCAAGTGGTATCTTTTTAAGCACACTATTTTGAGTTTAACCACCTCTGCCTCTCACCTGTCACACCCCTGTACTTACTTGGAATTTAGCCCTAAGCAGAGGTTCGGATTAAAAAGCTTGGAATTGGAAGCTAATGAAGAGCTGGTTCACAGGGCTCAGAGCTTATCAGACCTGTTCCCACAGTTGTATCTCTTTTCGATGTTATCAGTGCTTGTTGATAAGGACCGAACTGCAGAGGCGAGTCTAATCCTGATTTTCCCTCATTGTATCTTAATAGCTCATTTTGGAGACTTTAATTCTTCCATACATCATCCAGGCTATCTTGCCGACAGCCAGTTCATACCAGATCAAAATGATGACTTTCTAAGCAAGGTGGAATCACTCCATGAACAGCATAGGTATGGGGACTGGGGACGTTTTGGGAGTAGGAACTGGGATGTGTGGAGCGGGGACTGGTGGGGCCAGGGCTTAGGAACTCAGGCTGGATGTTTATTTATAGATAACCCACCACTTGCCCTCCCCCCTTGGCTTCCTGTGGTTTTCTGTACATTTAACCTGGCATGGTGGCAAATGTATATTTAGCACCACTTGCATTTTTTTCGTGAAGCATAAAAATGCCATCGAATTGAGGACGATAGCAGGCCCGTTCCTCCTCCAGGATGTCATTGACCTTGGTTAATTCCTCAAGGAGATGCCTGTTTCCAATCTGATTGATTGGCCTCCAAGCTGATTGAGCCAGGCCTACCTTTTAGCCATTTACCCCATGTAATAAAACAGGCCATTCCCTCTGGTGTTGTTGAGTAGAGAGACGGCTGGACTGGAGAGTTGACGGGGTGGGTGGTCCTGGATTGAGACTGCTTTTCCTCCACATAGGGAATCGCCTTGGGACAAGATTTGCCTCTACCAAATACTTTCCACTCCGAGCCTCTTCCCACTCCTCACGTGACCCAGTGCTACTGCGGCAGCTGTTCTGTTCCCATTAAATGAGAACCTCGCTGACCCATACTAGCCCTCCAGAGACATCTCATTTCTTGGGAAGGGCCATAAAAACAAAGGGCAAGTTAACAGCCTACCTTCTCAGAGGGTGCCGCCAGCCCTTTCTCCCAGAATTGCTCCTGGGACAGAAGTCAGCATCCCAAAATAGCACAGGGCCACTGGCGTTTGAAGCATGAGGCCACTGTTGAGAGGATAGACAGGCAGAATGATCAAAGATTGCCTATTAATTGAGCAACATGGCGTGGTGAGAGGGCAGGCATCTTGAAAGGCGATAGGCAGTTTTCACTGTCGGGAGACCTCCCAGAGAGACCACTAAGTGGGAGGGTGTCTTAGTAAAAACCGAGGGGTCCAGAGGAGGTCAGGTTCCATGGACAAGAAGAAAAACCTGCTTCATTAGGATTTAAAGGTAGAGTGCTTACGGGAACTGGCCCAAGGCACTTAGTTACTGTTAATAACTTACAGAGGAATATTACAACGTTTTCCAGGTATCTTTAATTTTTTAAAAGTTCAAGGTTATTGAGTGAGTTTTGCATTTTCTCTTTTCTTCTGCAGTGGGCTAAAGCAGTCAGAAGCCGAATCTTGCTACATCAACATAGCTCGAACCCTTGACTTTTACGGAGTGGAGCTTCATGGAGGCAGAGTATGTACCCTTTAGCTCAAACTATTGTTTATTCTTAATTATGCAAGTTTGAAACCTTCCTTGGGGAATTTTTCCCTTCCGTTATCACAAACAAGATCTTTTAGAAGATACTGAGGGGCTAGAGAGTTGCCTCAGGGTTTGAAGGCCCTTGTTCTTGCAGAGGACTAGGGTTTGATTCCCAGAACTCACATGGAAGTTCGAAACCTCATTGGGAACCAGGCACAGACATACATGCAGGCAAAACACTCATGCACATGAAATAATAAATAAAACAAATCTATTTCTTTTAAGAGAGATACTTGAAACATTTATTGAGTTTATCCAGGTCTTATTGGCCATTCAGTTGATTTTTCCCCACACTTCTGAGCAATCAGGGCGTAGAAGACTTAAAAGCTTTCAGTGGGGAAAATCCATTTTTTTCTGTCTTTTAAAAGTGTTTTTTAGTAAACATACAGAATGATGGGATTGAGGGCTGAGGATGTCTCTTGGCTGGGTTCAATTCATGAGGCCCTGGGTTCAATTCCCATACAAGAGGCAAGAGGATCAGAAGTTCAAGGTCGTCCTCTGCTATGTAAGTGAGACTGAGGCGTGTGCCCTCATCTCTCGGTAGGGAGGTATTTATTTCCATGGATGTATTTCATTGTATTTTGTTCATGCTTAACCACTCATCACCCTCCTCTGTCTCTCTTCCCCCCGACCCCACTTCTTCCCCTCAAATGCCCCCTTAACATTCACACACCTTTATAAATCCGCTTTTAAGTGACAATTTGCTGAGCCAAAGTTTCTACTACATCTTAAGCAGTACTCAGATTAGAGCTGGTTACTCAAACACTACTGTATATGTTTGTGTATAGTGTGTGTAAGTTATGTGTGTGCTGCTTGTGTGTGTGTGCATATGTATATATGTATATGTTTGTAGGTATAGCTAGACGCAAGGTGCACACCTGCCTGTGGAAGCCATTTGTTACTCCCTCTCCACCTTTAGCTTTCTTTTTTTTTAAGGAGTACATGTCCCCTACCTCACTTCTCATATCCTCAAAGAACTATTTATTTATTTTATGTATATGAATATATTGTAGCTGTTTACAGATATACCAGAAGAGGGCATCAGATTCCATTACAAATAGTTGTGAGCCACCATGTGGTTGCTGGGAGTCGAACTCAGGACCTCTAGAAGAGCAGTCAGTGCTCTTAACCGCCAAGCCATCTCTCCAGCTCCCCCCCACCTTTATCTTTTAAAACATTTATCACTGAACCTGATACTAACTGCCTGGCTGCCCAGTGAGCTCCAAGGATCCACGCACATCTGCACTTCAGTGCTGGGATTACAGTTATGCAAGACCATGCCTGGAGGCTAGGGATTGGAACTCTGAGCTTCATATTTCCAAGCAGGCACTTGATTGGCTGAGCCTGCTCCCCAGCCCTGTTCAAGTTTAATAGTTTTATAGAAGAAATTATGGTGGTGTGATTATGAAATTGATAAATTGTGATTAGTTTAGAAGACTAATACATATCAAATTTCTGTGTCTGGGTAAACAATTTCTTCCAATAATTCCGTCACCTTGGCGATTATCACTTTTCCCACTTTATAGATGGGAGACTGATTCTCTGGTATTACAGAGCTCACACAGCACCTTGGTGGTCAGTATATGGGCTCGCTACTGGTTTTGGTACCAGTCTTTTGAAACCTGAAAGCATCCCCTTCCTCCAGTGACACACCTCCTCCAACAAGGGCCCACCCACTAATCCTTCCAAAACACTTCTACTGAACTGGAGACCAGGCATTTAAATATATAAACTTGGGCAGGGTGTGGTAGTGCATGAGTTTAATCCTAGCACTCAAGATACAGAGGCAGGAGGATCTCTATGCAAGCCCATATGGTTCATTCTTTTTTTTGTTGTTTTTTTTGTTTTGTTTTGTTTTGTTTTGTTTTGTTTTGTTTTTGTTTTTTCGAGACAGGGTTTCTCTGTGTAGCCCTGGCTGTCCTGGATCTCACTCTGTAGACCAGGCTGGCCTCAAACTCAGAAATCTGCCTGCCTCTGCCTCCCAAGTGCTGGGATTAAAGGCGTGCACCACCACTGCCCAGCCATATGGTCCATTCTCATTCTAACCACCACACTGACTTATGTTCAGCATTTTAGCACTGACACACTAACATTTCTGCCTGCCATTGGCCCACATTGTACCCACAGAGAAACAGTTACTGAGCTGGGGAAATATCTCACTTCATAAAGTTCTTGTTGGAAAAGCAGGAGGACCTGAACTTGAGCTCAGAATCCATGTCAAAAGCCAGGCCTGGTGATCTGTGGAGACAAGAGACCCCTGGACCACAATGGCTAGCTGGACTAGCTTCCCTTTGTGATGAGCTTCTGGCCTCCATACTCACAAAATACACACGTGTACCTGTGAGAGCACACGCAGACACACACACACACACACACACACACACAGAGTATTAATTAAACACCAGTTATAGGCTACTGGCTGGTTTTTGTTCCAGGTGCTTCCCTAGGAGACCCCTTGAGTCTCATTTTAGGATCACAGAAACCTTGCCAAATTGGTGTTCTTAATCCTCTCCATTTACAGATGAAGACTATGGAAATTGATTAAATGATCTAAGTTTTTTTGCCTGTTTAAAAATCTACACTTCCAGGCAGTGCTAGGTTTAATCCCAGCACTTGGGAGGCAGAGGCAGAGTTTGAGGCTATTATGGTAAAGAGTTCCAGGACAGTCAAGGTTACACACAGAAAACCTTGTCTTGAAAGACCAAAAATAAAAATTAAAACAAAAACCACAAAAATCTACACACTGTGTTTGAAGCTTATAGAAACATTTGAACTTTTTTGTCTTCTGTCTCATGAGCTCTCTAACATGGGTCATCAAAAGGGGGAAGTATATTGCCTCTTGGACATTAACAGCTTTGAAATGTAACTGGTCAGTTTTAGCCCCTTTTCCAAGTTGTTTTTTCTCTTAATAGAATATTTCCGAGAACCTAGTCAGTGGCAGAGTAGGAGTTTCTGTCAACACCAGACTCAACCTTTCCCTTCACCTTCTCTACCCTCAGCTATCAGGGAAATGAACCCCTCAGGCTAGCAGCATGTGTGCATACCAGTACTTGGGAGGTTGAGGCAGGAGGAATGAATAACTTTGAGGCCAGTCTGGGCTACTTTGTGAGTCCTAGGCCAGCGTGGCATACATATGAAGACCCTATCTCAAAAGGAAAAAAAAAATCACTTAGTGGTTAAAAGTTCTCATTACTCCTGTAGAGGACCAGTGTTTGATTCCCAGTACCCACGTGATAGCTCACAACCATCCATAACTCTAGTACCAGGGGATCCAGTGCCCTCCTCTGACCTCTGAAGACACCAAGCACAAACAGGGTCCACTTACAACATACATATATGCCTAACACTTGCACATAAAATAAAATGAATAAACCTAATTTAAAACACACACACACACACAGAACCATTCTGGGTTTGGAGGCAGATAATCAGCTGAGATCCAACCTCAGTCCCTCCAGTTGTTAGAGGGATTGCCTTACACCAGGCAGTACTGAATGGACACTCCCATATCTGCGTAGCTTAGTACCGCACAGAGTAGCTTTCCTTCAGTGTAGACTTCTAGGCAGCTCTTACTACCCAGGAACTCCCCACCCAGTCTTGGCTCCTTCTCCATAGCTTCCTGCTTTCCCCATGTGGCTTGCTTGTTGTCAGAAGCCCGAAGGTGGCACACAGCTTTTCAGTGCTTCCAACAAGAAGAATCATGTCACTAATACCCAGAGCATGGTGGCTAGAATTGGTCACATGATCTGTTCTTCTGCAAAGGAAGCTGGCCTGTGGGGCTGGTGTGAGAATTCAGGAAGTAGCTAACTGAAGTAAACTACAGTTATCTGGAGGAAAGGTGCACACTGAAAGACAATAAAACACCTGATAAGATTCAGTCTCAGCCCACCAAGCGGTTCGCTCAGTGCCATTGGCCGATTCCTCTTCCTATAAGGTGCTAAGTCATGCTTGCGGCTGCCTTGTTCTTCACCACACCGTTCTGTCTTTGCCTACCTGTGGGATTTTAGCCTGGTGCCTAGTGCGAATACTCAGGACTTCCTCTGTATCAACCCCACTTCCCTGTCCAGTCTCTGTGCCTCCCCTTGTTCCTTAGTTAAGTGATAGCCCCACCCCAATAGAAAATGAACATTTGTTACACCTGCTAATCCATATCCGTAGATCTGTTCTGAGTCTTTAGATTCTGTACTTTCAGCCTGATGCAAAACTTTGAGGGGAATCCCCAAATTTATATAATGCGAAAAGGGGAAATGGAGGGACTCCTAAGCCCCGCATAACATAGGCTATGAGTGGAAGGCCAACACTCACACTCACTCGTAATTGTACTTAAGGATATCTGACTGGAAACAGAAATTATGTGCGACTCAAGGAAGGAACTCCATCCCTTTGAATATTATTTGCTTATACTCAAGTGGATTTAAAACAGTTTTAATCCTTTCTGTTTTCCTTCTGTGTCTGTATGATATATGGCAGTGCCAAGCACACAAGCCCTTAGCCGGTGTTATTCCATTGGATTCATAAGTAACATTGGATTTAAGAGTCATGTCTACATGTGTAATTTTTCTTTATCATTTCATAATAGCTAAAGCTTTTTTAGTAATTGAAAGTGAGGTTTGTGTGGAGCTGTATGAGGAAGAGGCCAGTTTGAGTCTCATGTGACTCCCAAAAGCTGATGGATGAAAATTCAAGAGTGTTTATATGTGACCATGTGGAGTACGTAATCCTTTCTGGTAACTTCCTAAACCAGGTATAGTGACATGTTTCGTGTGTGTGTGTGTGTGTGTGTGTGTGTGTGTGTGTGTGTGTGTTCGTGTTCGTGATGTGCTGTGTGTAGGTATTCACTTTAGAAGAACCGGGTACCAACTACTTGCTCTTAAGTGGCTGCAAATCGAGGATTTTTTCCTGTGTTCAGGGCATTCCCCCTCTTGAGCGGATGCACACTGCTATTTATAAAAGCGTGGGTGCTTTAAAGTTAACAGAGTAACACACTGTGAACCTGGACGCTTCATTTTTTCCCCCCAGGATCTGCACAATTTAGATCTAATGATCGGAATTGCGTCTGCAGGCATTGCAGTCTACCGAAAATACATTTGCACAAGCTTCTACCCTTGGTAAGTGCAAACACTTCGTATTGTCTGAATCATGCTATAAAAATATGCTGAGCAAAAGTAATGCTAGCTCTAATTTTAAACTTTTATTTCTGAAGAATGGCTGGAGCTCCGCCGAACTCCCCCCTCTCCCCCCACTTTCCTCCCAGTTTTAAGTTCTGAACTCTGAACTTGATCCAGATTTGGCACTTGGAAAACTTATCTTTGGTTTTTATTAACTTCCCTCCAGCAGTCATCCTGTGGTGGATATATCCAGTTGGTGGATAAATGACACGAGGCAGGTCTTGTTGTTGAGAATTCTTTTGTCCTCTTGTATGTATGGAATCAGTCCTAGATTCTGGTAACCTTGAACTTGCCAAGAGTACTAAATATGTGTATGTTGGTTTTCTTTTTTCTCCTCTGCATACATGCCTGTGGTAAAGTTTAATCTATGTATTAAGTCCACTGAGATTTATGCTGTAATGAAAAGTAGGCAGATTCCCTCTCTCTCTCTCTCTCTCTCTCTCTCTCTCTCTCTCTCTCTCTCTCATCAAGGCCATAGTATTTTTCAAACTGTGATTGACTCCAGGCAACTGCATCTACAGAAACCAAGAGCAGAGATGGGCGAGGGGAGACTCCATGGACTTTGAGTTTACTGTACCCAGGCAACAGTGAGCTATCTGTGGGAAAACATTATACCACCCAGATGATACATTTTATTAAATGATAACATGAGCGAGTGCAAGGCAGCGGTGGAGCAGGTGGAAGAGAGAGTGCTGCAGGCTGTGAGAGATGCGGAAGTACACACATGCAAAGAAAAGCGACCACACAGAAATTTATAGACAGGGCGGAGGAAACTTGGGTGGCAGAGTTGTGGCAGGCCAGATTTGATGTTCAGGTTTACGCCTGTTCCTTAGTTTGACCACTTAGAACATCACAAACTGAGACAGAACGATGTTTATCACAGCATTATTTATAATGGGGATAAAAACCTATAAATAAAGTTCTAGGGGCGTTGACCGTGATAGCAGCTGTCATATTATTAAGTGTTGGCAATATTCAAATCGCGTTACTCTGTATTTTACTTATCTCACTTAAACCTTGAATAAGCCGTTCTTATCCCTGACTTCTCAGCAGAGAAAGCTGTAGAGCAAGGAAGTTTGTAAGACCTGTCAGGCTCATGCTGCTAATAACGGTGCATGTGAAATTCACATCCAGTTTGTCACTCCAGATGCTTTTTATTCTACCACTCATAGTTGTGTTTGTGGGGTCATGCTTAAATAGGATGTACACTTAGAGACACTTGTTTTCAAATAATTGTATGTACATTTGATTTTCAACGAAGCGTGCCATGGGCCTGCTTAGTTTTATCATAGAATCAGTATGACAGATGATAAGGCCTTCCTGAGCCCTTGCTGGAAGCAGGAAACCCCAGCCATGGCTTGGCTAGCTGGGTGGCCTGCAGAATTCTCTGGCCTGCTTGGAACAAAGGACCAGGCAGTGGACACAAGCCTGATTTTTCTCTAAATGCCTCTAATCCTCTGGTTCTGTAACACAGAAGCCACTGGAGTCTAGCTTCACCTGTGGCTGGTTCTATGAAGGTCCCATAAGCAGGTACTGAACATCACACTTAGATATCCTTAAAGATAAACAGAAGCCTTTCAGGCAGGCTGGACAGGGACTCTTGGGACACCTCCTCAGAGGCTCTTTCTGATAATTTTGGTTATTCTTCAGCTTCAGACTGGCTCCTGTTAAAACCTGTCTCTGATGCCAGTGCTGTATTACTTACTTTTTATAACTCTGTGACACGATAATTGAAAGCAGCAAATTAAGGGAAGCAAGGCTGACTCGTGGTTCAGAGGATCCAGTGTGCCGGGCAGGTGAAGAGTGGACACTTGGCTTGTATGGAGTGTTCAAACACATGAGCACTTCAGACTCCAACTATAACAAGTGAAAACCTCAGAGACCAGTAGGGAGGTCAGCTCTGGAGATTGAGCAGGGGGAGGGTGCAGAAGGGCCTAGAATCTACAGAAGTGACTCTAAAGAGGATAGGCTTTGAACTCAGGGAGTACATTCTAGAAAGAAGATACAGAGAGTGTGTATCTTCAGGAACAGGGAGAACACAGTGATCAGTCCAGGGTAGATGGTTGATTTAGGCTAGAGCATACTGTGCTGTGGCCTCTGATGAGCGAGTGACTTGGCCATGGAAAGAGCCTCACAGGACACCAGAGTAGAGACTTAATCATCGATGCTTTAATGGGGACTAGATTTTCCTGCATGCACTGGTCACAGGATATGGCTGTGTGCATCATTCGGCACCTGTCTCCTTCATTAGGTTAGACATGTCCAGGTGGCAATACCCACTGTCTTGTTCTTTCCGTCCCTGGGACCTGGCACAGTACTGTCCCTCTAGACACACAGTACATTTCATAGTTCTTATGACTGAAGGGCAGTAGGCAGCCTGATGTAGAACCTGCAGTCTAGAAATCGTTCTTCAGATTTGCTCTGGTAAAAAACACAGTCAAAGAGAGTTGGAAGCACTGGGGCAGAACCCTCTGAACCAGGGGGACGAGCAGGGGACCCCCATATGAAACCAGTAGCACACAAGCAGTCTGTGCCCAGCAAGACAAAGGTAGAAACTCACATACTGATGAATGGGTTCCCCAGACTCCTGTGAAGTAGGAATTCCTGTGCATGCCTCTCAACACTTATGGGAGAGACCTGGCCACCTCAGGGTGTAGCATGCTCCATGGTGGCCACCTCAGAGGAACAGGACATAAGAGCCTTCTGATCTAGCCTGTAGTCATTCCCAAAATTCACTAGTTAAATAGGTGTATCTGCTAGCAGATTACTTATAATAGGTGTTTGTTTTTAATATGTAATGCAAATAAGCTACTGTGTGCTCTGTGTGTGTGTGTCTGTCTGTCTGTCTGTCTGTCTTCCACTGGGGAAATATCACTTGAATAAACTTTCACTTTATATACTCAATGTCTCTGTTCTAGAATGGTCTTAGCAAAGTCTTGATGTGATATGATCCTAGAGAATAGTAGACTTCCTTTCTTCCCCCCAGCACTGTGTAGATTACAATAGCTTGACATAGTGAATAAAACCTATTTAAAAGGTGAGCTTGTACTGAGCTTGGTGGCACACATTTGTAATCCCAACACTGATGGGTCAGAGAGGTAATCTCCAAGGTTGCCGGCCAGCCAGCCAGCCTAGCCTCATGTAATTGGTGATCTTTGGGACAAATGAGAGACAGACTCTGTCTCAGAATAAGGTGGAAATGAGGAAAGACATCTAAAGGTAGACCTCTGGCCTCCACATATGCACCCACCTGAACACACACACACACACACACACTGGTTTCATTCATGAAGACAGCCGACACTGCAAGCTTGTGGTGTATCATAATCATGTAAGAATTTGTCGTGCTTACTCCATCTAAGTTGTCATAAGACAAGTGGTGAGAAAGGTTGTCATGGGCCACCACTCAGCAGATATCATAGGGTCCAAGATCCTAGGCTTTGGAGGCTGAGCCCCAAGCTCAGAGCCTGGCTCCAAGCAGTGACATCTCTGTACCTCAGCTTCTTCTTCTAGAGGATAAGTACATACTCTTCTGGACTGTTATAAAACCCAATAGAGACAGTGTTTATAAAGCCCTTGACAGTGGCCTGGTATATGAAAATACCAGTGCCTTTTATTCTGTATTATGCACACGTAGCTGTTAAGTAACAGGGCTGAGGTACATCCCAGGCCTGTCCTCCCTCTGCTCCACACTGCCCTCAGCTGTCTTCCCCCATGTAGGCACCAGCTCCTGCAGGGCTTCAGTGTCACAAAGAGACTTACAGCAAAGAGTGCGCATGGCCCATGCTCCTAGTTATTTAAAAGCTGCCTCACAGTCCAGAGGCCCCGTGGAGATCCAGCTCGGTCAGCTCCTTGAGTTCAGCCAAGACACACTTCCAGCAGCCTGCCTTCATTGGATCATAAATTAGAGGACCCATGCAGAAGAGGGTCAGCCATAGCCCGGCTGAGCCCCGATGTCTTTGTTTGATTTGCATCTTGCTTTATTTTTTGTGCTATGCGTGGTTTTGTTTTGCTTTGCTTTTTACAGGGTGAACATACTCAAAATTTCTTTCAAAAGGAAAAAGTTCTTCATACACCAGCGGCAAAAACAGGTGAGTTCTGTCCCTACTTGCTGCGTTTGCTGTGTTGTTGAGGCTTGTCCCAGTCTCAGCTCCTCGGGGATTGCTTTCTGTGTCTTAGGAAGGAAAGACTGTGGCTGTCAGGTCTTCAGACCCAGTGGTCATCTCCATGAGCCAGTCGGCACCTGTGTGGAGAACGAACTTGCTTTATAGTTACTCTAGGTCTAGACCCTGCCTCGTCCCCCTTAACAGTTGGGCATTTTCTTTCACCCCCTCTAGTCCATATTACCTTGTTTTGGAAGCTCAAGTAATGAATGCCCACTTCTTAGAGAGCTTTATGGGTCAGATAAAAGGGCCCAGTTTGGGCACCTGGCAAAGCACAGCAGGAAGGGTCCACACAGCTAAGTTCCGAAGGTGATAGTTTATTACTGACTGTGTCTTACAAGAGGAGTCGGCGGGATCCTAGACAACTCTGTTTGTTTGCTTAGCCACAGCAGAAGTACACTCAGTAAAGAAGCCAAGGCTTCCACAGCCTCAGAGTGAAGGAGCTGGAATTTGAACCAAGCAAGGCGCCTGCCCTTTCCACACCACACCCTGTCTTGTTATGCTGCATAGTTGTCACCGACTGTCGCTGTGTCTGTGTCCCAGCTTTTCAAATATGATATGCCCTTAGTCTGGCCCCACACAGAGAATGGGCCCTTAGAAATGGGATCACTAAAGCTCAGAATACCAAGGACTGGAATCTATGTTGTCTGACAGCACCCACTCACCTCTAGTGCAAGGAGGGTCAGGGTGGTACCAAAATGCATATGGAATCGAAAACCTAAACACAAGTAGCCTGAAGGCAAAACTAAGGACAAATTTGCTTATTATATATGAGCACTGGAACTTACTCTGGGGTAAGAAATGGAGAAGCCTCAGGATTCTAATGTCTACTACTGGCTAGGTGGAAGAGTATTTCTTCAGAAAGAGATGTTCATAAAGCTGAGTTTTAAGTTATCAGATGGTAGCAGCAAATAAGCCCTCTCTTGAACTATAAGCAGGTTTGAAACAAGAGTGACTATGAAACCCCAGATGGTGAGGAGACATGGATTCAGGCTATTTCTATTATCACACCCACGGAGGGTTCACAGTCCTGCTCCAAAATATTCCTGGGACATTGGGGTACGTCTGAAGGAAGCCTGCCCCCTTCCTCTGTCACGTCTTCCCTGGCTGTTACATATGGGTAGCAAGCTTGACACACTTTTACCATCCTATACTTTTCACAGTGAAATCTCTACTGTTCTTCCTCCCAGGCTGAATCCAGGGAACATATCGTGGCCTTCAACATGCTGAATTACCGATCTTGCAAAAACTTGTGGAAATCCTGCGTTGAGCACCATTCATTCTTTCAGGCAAAAAAGTTACTACCTCAGGAAAAGAATGTTCTGTCTCAGTACTGGACTCTAGGCTCCAGGAACCCCAAAAAGTGAGTATACTTTTGGGGGACCATCCATACTTTCTTGAAATGTTAGTGTGTGCTGGTCGCCCCTGGCTCATGGACATCTTTGGGCAGAGAGGCAACTCTGGGGATTGTAGATCCCTGGATGGTGGCTGAATCTTTCCAGGGGAGATTGAGCCCTTTGTATACATACTCAGGTACATGTTATTTTCCCAGCATTAGCTTCTGCCCCCTCAACCCTGCTGTCGTCTGAGTTCCCAGACAGCTAATATTGCAACTGTCACCGCACCCTATCCAATAAAGGACACTGAGTGTCATTCTGGTGCCAACACATTAGGCTTTTCACAGCTGGAAGCCACTAAGCCAGCCCCTCCCCCATGATATTAATCCATAAGGCACCCTATAAAAACGAACAGAGGTTTGCAGAGTCAGGTGACTTCAGAATAATTACCTATAATAGTTACGAAATAATGGTTGTAATTGACAGTTACCTAGTGTTTATAAAGGGAAGGTACACACTTAATTGTATTTGGTTCTTGTAACGAACCTAAGAGATAAATGCTACAGGAATGATACTCAAAATGCTTCATGGTAAGAACAGTAAAATAAATTTATATATATATGTTATATGTACATTATAATTTTAAAAATAATATCCTTTGGGTCTCTGAATTAGCTGTGTTTATTCTGAGCCAGCTTTGTATAAGATATAGAAGAAATTGTTTATCAAGTTGCTAGGATTTCTCAACCATTTGCTGGTTTTTCAAAACTGTGATTGACTGTCGTTAATGTGGCTTTTTCTACATCAAGCACAAGCTATTGTTTGATAAGCAATTTTGTAAGAATGTTCTCGTGGCTTTCCTATTACATGTTAGTCTTTAGGTAATGTAATGATTCAGTAAGTGGCAAACAGCCTCTGGAAAGGGTGGTATTATTACTTATGAACCAAGAACAAACATCCTTAAAGTGTTTAGCTCTTACAATTCTGTCCACTGTTTCTGTGCATTCAATATTCTACTACTGAGCAGGCCACAAGAATTATGTAGTGGGGTCACCTGTAGAGCCTTGTCCACATGATCCCACATGGAAACTGAATCCTCTTCCTGCATGGTGGTCCCTCTAGCCAGCCAGAGGCCTTGGTTGAGAGCTGTTTCCCAAGCATGGTACAGTCAGTCACCAGCAATAGCCCGGCTGTCTTCGGAGAACTCACTGTGTGCTGCTGTTTCATGGTGCCAGGACTGACAGCCCAGATTGCTGCAGCTGGTGAGGCAGTGCATCTTGGTTGAACACTCGTTGGGTCCAGCCCTCCTGGGGGACTTCCCTGATGGAAGTAAAACTGAGCATGCTAAGCCTGGCATCCCTCGCTAGGAGCCTCGGGAACCTAGTGTGTGCAGCAGCAGCCATAGCAGCTATGAGACTCTAGTTCCAGAGTCGGATTCAAGGGCTCCAGCGGGTCAGATCTGCAGACAGATTTGCACAGTCAAGGAAGTCAGGTTGAAGAAACAGGAAGTCAGTTTAGCATGAACATGTATAGTTGAACATAAGGCGTAGACGTACCAGTGAGCTTCTCTGCTGTGCACAGCGTCTGTGCCGCAGATGGGCTGTGTGAAGAGGAATCCTACGACAGTCTAGATGCAGAAGTACAATGAGGTGACGTGAAGTTGGCGGGAGGAGGGGGGCTCCTTATGGTTGATGTACTTGTGTGGCAGCTTGGGGTACAAGTGGTCTGTTTCTTATTGGTACCGTCTTTTAGCATACTGCCGTTTAGACTGTGTACATCTCTATACATTTCTAATTTTGTCTCTTAAATGATTTTTACATGTATGTATGTATGTATGTATGTATGTATGTATGTATGTATGTGTATGTGTGGTATGGGAGGGAAACACATGCCCGCCATGGTACACATGTAGTTGTCCAAGGACAACTTCTAGAAGTCAGTTATCTTCTTCTGTCCTGTGGGTCTCGGGGATTGAATCTAAGTCATTAGACTTGGTGACAAGCACCAAGCAAGCACCATCTCCCCAGCCCTTATCGCATCTGTTCATCTCACAGATGAGGAAACCATGGTCAGCTCAGCCCCAGAGATACATCTATAGGTCTGTGTGTTGGGTCCTCCGATAGGTTCTGTGAAAGAATTTGTTCATTATTTTCCAGGGACAGTGGAACAGTTCCAGATTTCTATTAATAACCCGTGACACGTGCTTTAAGGCTCTGCCACAGCTTAAGCCTTGGAGCCTTGCTGCCTGCTTCCCTAACTTTAATTTACAGCCTTAATCAGTGGTCATGTGGCTTCTGATATAACTGACCTCGGGAGAAAGGTCTCTCTAGTGATGCTGAGGTGAACTTTGATCAGAGTGACAGCCGCAGTCATTGCTGTAAACCAGAACCTGAATTTCGTTATGTTTCTTTGTTCTGTTGTTTTCATCAGTTGGTCTTGGGGAGTAAGGAAATACATGGAATGTTCAAGATGTTAGAGCATGGTGTAAAGTTAAAAAATGCTAGGACTATTAGTGCTAACCAGACTTCAAACAGCTTACTAAGGCGATCTGTTCCTCAGAAGTCAGTTCTCTAACTATAAATAAAATTCAGAAATATCCTTCTGTCAGAGGATAGGACCTGAAGCTGTTCTAAGCACAGCTTCTGCTTCTTTATCAAAGAGTTGCCAGTGACTTCTGGTGCAAGGATGACTGCTTTTGTTTATGCCAGTGGGAGGCAAGTGAGGTAGATGCATTGAAGTTATCGGAGCTGTGCTGGTCTGTGGTGTCGGTGCTATTCTGACACTCCTTCTAACCTGGTAGCTTTGGTACAGTCTAGAATAGTTCAACTATTTAAAGTAGTAGAAACACAGAAGCGTTTTCACCAAAAGACCTAAAGAAAAATCAGAACAAGAAAGGAAGTCCAGGACCGATGGGGTGGTTCAGCAGATAGAGACACTTGCTGCCAAGCCTGACGGACTGAGTTCAATCCCTTACCCCACATGGTGGAAAGTCAAAACTGACCCCTGCAAGTTGTTTACTGAGCTCCACAAGTACACCGTGCGTGCGCACACACACACACACACAAAATATAAATAAATCTGATCTTTAAAAATTTGAAAGAACACTCTGGAAACTGACTGCCTCCACTGGTCCTAGCCCAGCTGAACTGAGCACCAGGGCTGGTGTCATTGTGATGTAAATAAGGTTTTCCTTCTCCGGGAAAACTACATTTTATAGATGCTGTACTTGCTTTCTTGTTGGAAAAGTCAGCGTGAACAATGACCCTGCATCTGTTTTTCAGGTCTGTAAATAACCAATATTGCAAAAAGGTGATTGGAGGGATGGTATGGAACCCCGTCATGAGGAGGTCCTTATCCGTGGAACGGCTAGAAACCAAGAGCCTGCCTTCCCGCTCCCCTCCCATCACCCCCAACTGGTATGTCCTCTTTTCTGCCATACACCAGCAGATACCGTCTGTCTTTCACAAACAGAGTTGGCTTTAAATTCTTCAACAGAGATGGCCTAGAGTCAGACTTCCCATGTGCGTTCCATGTGTTGCAAGAGCCAGTCTTCTGATACTGCTAAGGTGTCCTTAAACTTATGATAAGTTCATCTAAATTTATCTGTTCATGAAATACATTGTTTTATTCCAATACATATATAGTATTTAAATCAAGTTGACTGCCATATCCATCAGCAAATAGCATTTCTTTGTGTTGAGAACTTGAAAAAATCCCTCAGGGTAGGTGGACATGGTAGTAGGCAAGCTTAGCATTCAGTAGCCTGAGACAAGAGACTAAAGAATTTAAGGCTAGCCTGGGTTGTGTGGATCTAACCGCTCATCAATAAATAAGTAAATCCTTTCTATTGGCCATTTTGTATTTTTTAATTGATTTCTGTGCATCAGAGTTACCCTGCTGTGCTAAAATAGTAGATATTATCCCACCTAACTACATTCTTGAACTGCTTCTCTGAAAAAAATAATAAATTGGGACGGGCCTGAGTGCATAGCTCAGTGATAAAGTACATATACAGTACGTTCAGACCCTGGTTTTATTCTACAACCCTGCAAAATAAATGAATAATAACATTTGGCCTGAGGCCTCCTGAAATGCCCGTCTTAGAGTCATAGCGTCTTTAAGCCCTAAGAAGTCCCATGGTAAAGAAGTTAAAAGGATAAAGGATGGGAGATGTGATACCCTCAGGGTTCCAGGTTTACCACAGATGGAATAATGTATAAATGCTTCTTCATAAGCTTATTTCAGAAAAGGATCAAGCAAAATTTTCTATTCCTTATTCTTAATGATCCACAAAGACATCGCCCGTTTTTGTGAATGTCTGAGTGTCCGCAGGAGGAGAAGGGAAGCAGGAAAAGATTGTACACTGGCTCCACAGGATTAGCATTGTGGCTTGCAAGACAGGCGGACATTTCCTAGCTAGGATCTAAGGGATTAAGGGATATGGGGAGAGAGACCTGCTAGGAAAGGACCTTCCACAGGGGACCACCTGTCCTGGGCAACGGTGGCGATGACAATGATGACGTGCATGCTCTAAAGAACCAGCTTAGTTTATGCAGAAACTGGTCAAGGAGGCAGAGAGCCCCAGGTGAGCTGCAGGACTTAGCAAGGTTGGGTGTGACTATATCACTGCCTTGGCTCTCTTACTGCTACTTATAGATCCTCTCCCAGGAGTCCCAAGAGCCATCTTGCTTACACAATGGACACACAGTATTGATTGTGCAGAAACGGGGGAATTGCAAGTCTCTTAGAGTCCCAAAAAGAAATAGCTGACAAATGGAAGCCGGGAGCACCGTAGAAGGGAGCTTGAGGTCACGTGATAGAGGGCCTGACACCCAGGGCCAGTCCCAGGTATTCTGTGAACACTGTCCCATTTGCCTCATTCAGGGCCTTGTAAGTACAGTTGAGGTCCAGAGAGGGTGGTGGAGCTTATCTGAGATCACCTGACTACTGTGTAGCATGCTGGTCTCCGTCACATTATGATGTTTAAAAAGGAGAACATTAAAAAAAAAAAACCCCAAGCATCTCCGGTCCATAGCTATCTGTGGAAATTGCTTTCTGTGTGAACAGGAGGACCTGAGTTCAGATGCTAGCATACACCTTGGAAAGCAAGGCATGGATGTGGATGCCTGTAATCCCAGGGCTGGGAGGATCGAAGGGGCCAGCCAGCCAGCATAGCTGGGTTGATGGGCTCCAGGTTCAATGAGAGACCCTACCTCAAAAAAGAAGCTTAAGAGCGACAGAGAGGGATTTGACATCAACCTCTGACCCTATACATCCACATGAATGGTAAAGGAACCCCCCACACACACACACACGTACACACACACCACACATGCACACATACACACTACACCTGCACACAATTTTTAAGGTTAGTTATTCCTTCTTGGATCAAGTGAAATTGAACGAGAAGTTAACACTGCCTTCTTTCTAAACCTGTCAGCGCACATTGTTGAATTGATGAGAAAAGTTATGTCTTGAGTCTTCTAGAAGAGTAACTCACCCTTAATCAATCTTCACGGACCAATGGCATAAGCCAGTTTAGTTCTTTCGATTTCTAAGTGGAAACTATGGTTCTGGGAGCCATACCACTGACCCAAACCTGCCTGAGACTGTGTCATCCTGGCTAGATTCTGCCGGAGTAAGAATGACCTCACTGGCTCTGACTTATCTTTGTGTTGGTTATTTTTGAGACAGGTTCTCATTAATTCCCCCAGCTGGCCCTTAACACTTAATCCTCCTCAGTGCTGGAGTTACGTGTGTGTACCGCCACACCCAGCTCTGGATCTGACTTTCTAAGCACCAGTCAGGGTATCCACAGAGAGGCTAGGTCACAAGGTCACACAGCTGCCATTGGGTCAAACCTCTGTGTACTGCTCTTCTCCCCTTTGCAGGCGAAGTCCTCGGCTACGGCATGAAATCCGCAAACCCCGCCATTCCTCCGCTGACAATCTGGCCAATGAGATGACTTACATCACAGAAACCGAGGATGTGTTCTATACCTACAAGGGATCCCTGTCCCCCAAAGACAGCGACTCTGAAGTTTCCCAGAACCACAGCCCACACAGGGAGTAAGACTTTATATATTTCTTTGTATCTTTCTATCTTTGTATCTGCTTTGGCCTGTTGAGTTTGCTCAGTCCTGGGTGCAAGTTGAGAGGAGGCAGTAGCTGGTGCCTGCAGTGAGCTCCCAAAGGTGCTCTCTTGAGATGGGAACATAAATCCTACTGCCTGTCTGTACAGGAGACAACTGATGTGCCACAGCTCAGAGAAGAGTAGGCGCCACTCTCCAAGAACCTGTAGGTCTTGTACTACTGCCCTGCCTGCCCAGGGCACAGGCAAAGCTTGGTTTGAGATATTTCTATATAGCACAAGTACAGACTCAAGGACATGCTTGCCCTCATCCCTCTGCATCACGTAAGCTTGGTGACCTTAGTCATCAGGACCGTACTAACATGTAGGAGCCTTCTCAGAACAGCAGTATGCCCTTGGGGTTTGTTTCCTTTTCATTTTAATACTGTAAAGAGAAAAACAATACAAGGCTACCAAAATGGCTCAGCAGGCAAAGGCACACTTTGCCAAGTCTGTTGACCTGATACCCACATAGTGGAAGTAGAGAACCAACTTCTACCAGTTGTCCTCTGACCTCTACACATGCATGCGTGCACACACACAAATTAAAAAAAATGTAAAAGTAGGCTTTGTATTGTCAAATGTTTGTCAAAGACAGTTTCTTCTCAAGCCTTCTGTGACCACTCTTTTGGGACCAGTGAGGCAATGTCCTTCTTCCTACTGTGGCTTATAGTATGAGTCCACTGAATGCTGGTCTTCCACTGTTCTGTATAATATTCTCTTGTCACAGGCTTCATGGAGCCTGGGCTTGTCTCTAATGTGCTGTGTAGCTGAAGATGATCTCGAACTCTTGATCCTCCTGTCCTCTCCTCAAATGCTGGGGTACCGCCCCAGCCAGTTCACATCCACTCTTCCTAAAGAAATGTTACCCTCTCATTGATGAAGGCCAGCAGAGAGCCTGTCTGCTCTGAAAGATAGGCAGGCTTGAGTCTTAATTTTTCAGTAACAGTATACGTCTGCTCCTCTTTGCTTGATTATCAGAGCTCAGAGCTGCTCAACCGTTAGACTGAATCACTCTTACGTCCCCAGACCCGGGTGTCAGGTCTGTCTCTTCTCTTCATACCTGACCTTTACAATTCTATCAGAGCTGAGTGTTTCGGGATGAGCTATCTCAAGTCGTATTTTGAAACAGGTGAACTATAGGTCATAAACCATATCTTTAAGTTAAATCATGATAGGAAAGGATAAGGTATTAGAAGATCAAGCTTAGCCATTGGATATTCGAACAGTTAAGCCCCAAATAATGGCCCAAACCAAGAGAGGTAATGCATCCCTGTTGGAGGAGGATTAGCAAGCAGGCACTTTGGTCAGTCTGTAAACATTTCCCACTGAAGCTTCACAGACATGAAGCACATCCTGCATGTGCGTTAGACTTTCCCAAGGTGAATTACGAGTCTCTTCCATGCAGGGGTCCAGCCCACCGCAAACCGTGGTCTTCAGATGATCTGCATTTTTAACACCTCTGCCTAAATGATCCCTGCGGTTATTATTTCCTTGTGACCGAAACTCCAGGATTCTTTAGTTGAAGTGATCACTATCTGTCCCTGCAACTTGCAGCCTGTGTCCTTCCTGGGAAGGCTGCAGTAGGTGGGTGTGAGACTCGTTGCATAAATCTGTGGCTTTGCAGGCTATGAGCAGATCTAAAAATGCAAAGCAGGAGAATAGCAGATTTCGATTAGAACCAGTCAGTCCTCCGTGGCCTCCAGACTCTGTTACTTTGGCACAAGGAGAAAAGAGGGCTCAGGGAACCTCATCCAAGGGCTTGGGGAAGCCCACATTCACTTTGCCTGTTGATGCACCGAAGAGCACCTAGATTTTCATTGGCCTGTGCAGCAGCCACCCACCACGGGCCAGCTGCTTAGCTTTAAGCTAACTGAAGTATGATGTGTGTTCAGCAGCTAGGACATGCACATGCATTTTGAGCATTGTCGAGTCACATGGACTACCCCACCATATTGGTCAGCAGATACTACTTGTTCTCATCGTCCCTGCTTGCTCCTGGGTGGCTTTGCCATTCCTTGAAAGTAAAGCAGACTCAACAAACGTTTCTGGTGACACATGAACATTTAAAAGAGCGCCATTCCTTCTGAGTTCATCTTTAAACATCCTTGCTGGTTGTGAAGAAGGGACCACAAAGTGGAATTTGATAAGGCTTCACTTTTAGGTCCTCCAGATCTGGATGAGTCCTGTGTCATCTGCCTTCACTGTCACACTGTGGGGCTCTGTGGCTTGGGAGAACCGTAAGGGTTGGGAGCGGCATGACCTACACAGATTTTACCACTGTTTTACAGCCACAAGAGATGTTAGCGTGCCTAGGCTTTCCCGGCGGATCTCCGGGCCATCACCTGGTTTAGGCTGGTTTAGGCTGCTTACACTTAAACCCTTGAGCACGGAGTACAATTTAATGTCTGATTGTCTGCGCTCTGTTGACTTCAGTGATTTTTTTTTTCCTGCCCCATTCACACTGCATGCTGACTCTCTGAATGTCTCCATGAGACCTTCTTTGTAAGGTGACTCCCAGAGCACTTTTCCTTTTGCAGCCCAGGATTTGGAGAAACAGACGATGGTATTGTAAAGGGACTCTTGACAGCTCTGAGAGTCTGTTTTGTGGCTAGGCTTGGCACGTGATGTGTGGTTGGAAAATCAGAACTCTGTTCCCCTCCATGGCATCAAGGAACCCTTCTCATTGGCGGGAAATCACTGTCTTCTGGATTTTCCGAAGCCTTAACATCTGGGGAGGTGGAGGAGGGCTTTATTCCCCAAGCAAGAGATGCTGCCTGGTCTGAACTTAATTGAGAAGAAACTCAGCCGGTACCATTGTATTTACAAAATGTTTAAGGAGCCTTTGACATGTTTTCTGCAGCAGATTTGTGCTAAGAGTCTAAAAGAAGCATTCTGTCAGAGGAGGAACGAGCTCACAGTGAGGAGGACTCTTTTGGAGAAGAATTAAGTGTAATGTTCTGTGCTCATTCAAAAGGAGAAGAAAGAGAAGAGGAAGGGGGAAGCTTAGCCCCATCCCCACCCCACCCCCAGTGCACAGGGATGGAACATCGTCCCGGCAGATGAGTCACTTGCCGGTTTGTTCCATATTTATAGCGGTGCCGCAGTTTATGATTATAGTTTTGAAGCCTTGGCAGTGTGCTTTGTGCCCAGGCAGGCTGGGCGCTTTTGTTATTCCCAGCGCTGCTCTGAACTTCTCTTTGCTTCCAGGGGAAGTTTCAATGCTGGCAGAGAAGCAGCTTTTCTTCATGGTAAAAACAAAACCCCAAAATTCCCCATCCCCTCACCCAGATGCAAGGAAGGAGGTGTGGGCTAAGGCAGAGCTCACCCTCGGCGCTGCAGGAGACAATGGTCACAGCCACTTGGATTTGTATCCCAAAGACTGTCGATGTTTCTTTTTCATAGTTGTTTTGGTGGGTCACCAACATGGTACCCCAGAGTCTTCTCTTCCTGTCATAGTAATTTACTGGCTGTTTCCTCTTTCCTGAAGACCTCTCCTCTTGGATAAGATATAAGAGAGCTCTTGCATTCATCTTAAAAATGTATACTTTGGAAGGGACCTTGGGCCAATCTCTCTCCATCTACAGCCAAAGAGGAGAAGTTCCTATGGCCCATCTTCTGGGCCCCTGGGCTCTGTGCACCCTACCAGGGACGGGCATCCCAGCAGTGTGGCAGTCTGTTGCGCTGTTAGACACTCGGGTTGTTGGTACAGTTGACCCTCTCTGTCCACATGTTTTGCATCCACAGACTTAATCAGCTGCATGTCCAGTGTCATAAGGCCTGTCTTGGTCACAGGGTCAGAGCTAAACGTGTACAGATTTTCTTTTCCCTAATCAGGACAGGACACGTGTTTGTGCAGTATTGACACTGGATTGGGTACTGTAAGTAACCTAAAGATGACTCTTAAAACCACAGGAGGGTGCACATAGACAAAATGAAACTATTAGAACATTTTATATAAGAGACTTAAGCATCTGCGGTGGGCGCTGTCCTAGAACTGCTCCTCAGGGGACACTAAAGGACAGTTGTATTTTTCTCAAACTACTTGATACACCTTCATGCTGGCCCAGCATGCTGGCTTCTTCCTCAAGCTCTTAGCACACAGTGCCTTGCAGTCCTCCTGGCAGCCCTGCCTACTTTTCCTTTAAGCAGTCTGGTTCTTCTTGGTACTCTTTTACTTTTTCCTTCTCTTCCAGTATTCTTAGGCAACACCCGAAAGCCCCTTACCAGAGGACAGTGCAACAGCAAATATGGAAGGGGGTCTGTCTCTTCAGGGAGCCAGCCAGGGTCAGGGTTTCGTTATGTGTGGGTAGGATGGTGGTGATAGCCATTATCCCTGAGCCAGACCAAGCCTGTGGGTGAGAGAGCCTGGAACCTCCCAACCTAGTCTCTGCTCTTGATCTTTGTGTTATGGCTCCTGTGTGTTTTAGGGAGGGACCACTGTCTCAGAGCCACCCAATTTGCACCTGCTGGGAACCTCAGTCTTCCTTGGTTCTGTTTCCATCTGCCATTCTCAATCATGTGACTGGACCCCCAGACATCTTTTGAATGAGAGAAAGCATCACGCGTGACTCTTTCATGGGGGATGGTGCTGTTTCTCGTCTCTCCAACATTACAGCTCTTCAGAAAATATGATTCTCTAGTGGCTTTTGTCACTGATGCCTGTTGTATCTGTAGTCCTCAAATGCCTGACAGTCTGTCTCTTCGCCTTCTTCCCCAGAGACTGGTGCATACCTGTCCCACCCTGGCTGTTCTTTCCCGGAGGATGGGGACTGGTCTCATCGTGTTGCCTAACTCCCACTCGGAGATGGCTTCTTGCTTCCTTCACTCCTTTCTCAGTAACCTCTGTGAATCCCTAACTCCACAGGGTTGTGTCTCTCTCTACAACTTGAAACCCCTGCATTTCCACAGGGAGCACTGACCAAACCATGGTGTTCTGACCTCTTTTCTCCTGGCATCCTAGTGTTCCACCCACCCACCTTCTCATCATCCCATGTCTCTGTCTCCTTGAGTCTCTGTCCATCAACACTGAACACCAAGCAGAATGCCATTGTTCTCTGCAGGGATGAACTTTAGTGTGTAAGTTGATAGGTCTGAAAACTATCCACTTGTTCATTATACCACCCTGACCTTAACTCTGCAACCTACTTAGAAGTTAGGTTAGGGTGTGGGATGTTTTAGAATATGTCAATGTTTGTAGTGACTACTGTTTGCTATTTTAAGATAGAATTAAGATCTTCTAAGATTTATTATATTTTATGCATATAAGTGTTTTGCCTGCACGTACATATGTGTACCATGTGTGTGCTTGATGCTCACAGAGTTCACAAAGAGACTATTTAATCCCCTGGAACTGAAACTGTAGATGGTTAATGAACCATCAAGTGGGTGCTGGGAACCAAACGCAAGTCCTCTGCAAGAACAATAAATACTCTTAATCCCCTGAGCCATCTCTCCGGCACCGTGTTCCCTATTTGAGCTAGATCAGGGGTTTTTTTGTTGTTGTTTTTGTTTTGTTTTATTTGTTTTTTTGAGATAGAGAATCACTATATAGCTTTCCCTATCTTGGAATTCACTGTGTAGACCCATCTGGCTTTAGACCAGACTTTTGTATTAGGAAGAAAAAGGCACTTTGAAACCCTGTGAAATAAAAGCTCATGAACCAAAATTTTAAAACATAAGTAAACAGGATATTTATTGATATCATTTTATTGAAAGTACCTTTTTATAAAATCATAGGCTTGGGAGAGGATAACCAATAAACCTTCAGGCCAAATTCTTCTCTTACACATATCTGTTTCCACACTGGTCTCCCAGTGAATATTTTGTTCAAATAAATTAAGACTGAATCATTGTGTGTGAATAGGTACAGATTTTATATTTAGAGTAGGCTAATTTAGGCGTGGCGGGGGGTGTAATAGCTCAATTCTTGCTTACCATGTGAGAGGCCCTGGGTGCTCAACAATGAAGGAGAAAAACAAAAAACAAAAAAACAAAAACCAACCCCTGTCCCCCAGTTTTAAACTGCTAGTGAACAGAAGCATCATTTAAAAAACAATCTCGAGGCAAGGACTTGGGCTAGAGAGTTAGCGAAAGTCAAAAGCAGAGGTGGGAATGTGTGGGTGTGTGGAGAAGCCATCCACTCAGGCTTTTGCAGGCTGTTATGCTAGTTACAACAATTGCCGATGTATAGCTCCTCTGGTGGACTATTCCATAAATGATGCTCTGTTTCTTGACAAGTTCAAATTAGTGGGCCCCCAGGCAGAGTCCCAGCTAGGAAGCCAAGGCAGAAAAATCTCTTGAGCCAAAAGTTCAAAACCAGCCTAGGCAACAGCTCTCATGTTAAACCAGAGTAGCTCTACACATTTCCCCATCAGCCTTCAAAGCAACTGGAGGAGGGGCTGTTTTCAGTGGTCCTCTGTCCTCCCTACCCTCCTGCCCTAGGTCAGATGTGATTTTATTTAGCCTAGATGAAAGCATGGATAACCCAAGGACTTTGGCAAAAATGCTCAGGTTCCAGGGCCCCGTGGTGATCTCAGGATGCCAGCCCCTAACAACCAACGACCTTACTCTGATAGTATTGAGTAAGTATTGACTTATTAAAACATCTCCTCTTTCCCCACCATGAAGGAGTTTGTCTGAAAACAACCCAGCCCAAAGCTGCCTGACCCAGAAGTCATCCAGTTCTGTGTCTCCATCTTCAAATGCTCCAGGCTCCTGCTCCCCAGATGGAGTTGACCAGCAGTTCTTAGAAGACTACCACAAGGTGACCAAAGGGGGCTCCATCGAGGATGCCAGCCAGTACTACTGTGATAAGGTGAGGGACTTTCAGGTCCTGTCACGCTCACTTGTGACTTGCTCTCACAGAGAGAAAGTACCTTGTCACCAGCTACTGCAGAAGGAAGTGGTATAAACAACACTCTCACATGTCTTCTAGAATGATGATGGTGATGGCTACCTAGTCCTGATCCGGATTACACCAGATGAAGACGGAAGATTTGGATTTAATCTTAAGGTATGCTGTGTGCATCTGTAACTTCCTTAGGTTATGTTCAGTGGAACAGTCTTCAGGCAGATTGTGAGTTTCAGTCAGAAATCTGCTACCTTACCTACATTGAATTAAAAAAACATAACCAGAAAAAACCCACTTCGAGCTACAAAGAGTTGGTAAGGTTCTTGCCATGCAGACGTGAGGACTTGGTTTCAGTCCCCAGGATCTCCCTAACAGCGATAGGGATGTGTTGTGGGGGTGGGGGACACTCTTTTAATCCCAATATTGGAGAGGCAAAAACAAGTGCACTCCTGGCAAGCTCTTACTGTCACATTCCAGGCAAGTAAAAGGCACTGTCTCAAGAAACAAGTTAGCTAGCACCGGAGGAATAAGACCTCAAGTTTGACCTGTGGCCTCCACTCATACCCATGTACACATGTCTGAATGCATTACCAAACACACATGAGCACACACTCATGAAAAACTACTCAGGGCTGGACATGGCTCAGTGGCTTCCAGAGGTCCTAAGTTCAATTCCCAGCAACCACATAGTGGCTCTCAACCATCTATAATGGGCTCTGATGGCCTCTTCTGGCACACAGGTATACATGCAGGTAGAGCAATCATACCTAATAAATACATCTTTTTAAAAAAAGAAAAAAACTACTCAGGACTAAGAACTGGGCTTTTGCCAGGCAGTGGTGGCGCACGCCTTTAATCCCAGCACTTGGGAGGCAGAGGCAGGCAGATTTCTGAGTTCGAGGCCAGCCTGGTCTACAGAGTGAGTTCCAGGACAGTCAGGGCTACACAGAGAATCCCTGTCTCAAAAAACCAGAAAAAAAAAAAAGATCTAGGCTTTTTATATAGTTGTTCAACTGCCTTGTATTACGTACTTGTTTTGTGCCCAACATTTGCAAGACTGTATTAGATCCCTGTCATCTTAGTGAGCTCAGAATTAGCAGAGCATAGGGACAAACATTTCAGAGACTTAAGACGAGACACTACGAGTTTGAAGCCATATGCACTAGAGTGCATATCAAGTTCATGGCCAGCCAGAGAGCTATGGAAACCTTATCTCAAAAGAAATGAAGGAATAAATAAAGCATACGACAGCCATTTAGCACATCTTACAAAGGAACCCCCAGGGCTCAGAAGGTTGAGTGTGTAGTTGGTGATCAAATGCAGCCACAGCCCACCCAAGAGGGATTATTTAGAGAACTGTACAGCCCTACTGAACTGATATGGAAAGGCAGCTAGCTCAAGTCTCTGGGCCTCCTCGTCTAATGAGTCCCTCTAGGCAGAGGCTGCAAACTGCCGCCACCACCCAGTACCCATCTGTCTGTCTACATAGCGTTATTGAAACAGGTGCGGTAGCCATTTGATTACAGCTTCAGGGATTGGGTGGTGGAGTTAAGTGACTGCCTCAGGGCCCTCTTTCCCACACAGCTTAAATATCTATTGAGGAAGCTTCCAACTCACGCCTACCATGGCACTCCCTCACCCACCCTGACTCCCGTGCTAGAGTGCATTGAGCAGACTGCCCCTGCTGGCTACCAGCCCTCTTAGGGCTCTGCTCACACCGGGAGCATCCCAGTGCACGTGTCCCTTCCTGAGGTCTTGTGTCTCTTCTTTTGGAGAAACAAGCACATGTTCTTTTCCAGGAAATGTTTTTGGGTCCTCCAAGGGCCCAGTTCAAGTGATGGTGATGTCAGGCTATGTTTCTGGGTAAAGAGGGGCCAGCAGTGTGCTCTGTAATTCCAAAAGGGGTCCCCGTCCCCGTGATTGGTCCTCCTGTAAAACCTTCCTGAACCATAAGGCTCATTCATATTCATTACGTCTACATATCTTTGTTAGCAAAACTACTCAAGTGTTCAGTTTAATTTTTGCCTTTGCTTACTTTAAAAACTGTTTACAGGGAGGAGTGGATCAAAAGATGCCGCTTGTGGTCTCGAGGATCAACCCTGAGTCACCTGTAAGTAAGCATAGTGCGTGTGACTTCCTGAGTTTGCTTTCTCCCGCATCAAACAAGTTTTTATTTCTGAGCCCCGTTCCTGAGTTTTCTTGGGATTTCATTTTTCTTTGATTGATTGGTTGGATGGTTGGATGATCTGCTGCTTGCTTGGTTTGATCGATAGCAGCGTGGATTTGTATTTGGTAATACAGACACAGACAGATGGAGACAGAGTGGGATGTCCATTCACTGCAACCATGCTGTGCAGTGTGGTTGGTCCCTGAAGCTGCAGCGCCATGTGTGTCACTGGGGCCTTGTTATATGTGCAGTATCTCTGGCCCCAGCACAGGTACAGGCCCAGATTCTTCTTATTTACTTTGGATCTGTTTGTACCAAAATCCTTGGATGATTTGTGTGAACTTTTAACTTTAGGAAGTACTAGTCAAGGCAAGGAAACTGAGGCAGAGTTTGCTTTCCACATGCTTCCAGATCCTTTGCCTCTTTCTGGTTTTTTCTTTTTTTTTTTTTTCTTTCAGGGTGGGAGGTGGTTTGTCAAGATAGGGTTTTTCTGTAGCCCCAGCTGTCCTGAAACTCACTCTATAGACCAGGCTGTCCTCAAACTCAGAGTAACTCTTCCTCCTGAATGCTGGGATTAAAGTCAGGTGGCACCGCTGGACAGCTTTTCTGTTGCTTGCTGTGGACATATTTAAGACGTAGTGTGATGCATTGCAAGCCTCTATGAAACAGATGGGTGAATGTCCCCACCATCTTCCCTGGTTTCTGTGTGACGGTTTCCTTTCAATAAAACATACATGTGAGTAGTGTGCCTTCTCAGAGGGGATGACTTGGGCAGAAGTTGGACTCCTCAGTCAACTCCTGGGGCCTGGGAAGATGGCTCAGCAGACAGCATTCATGCTGCCCAAGCATGAGGACTAGAGTTTGGATCCCCAGTACCCACATTAAAGTCAGGGGCCAGGTGTGGTGGCAACCTGTAATCTTACTGTGTGGGAGTAAGGAGATCCACAGCACAAGATGGATAGCTAGACTAGATGAATGAACAAGCTCCAGGATGATGGAGAAACCCTGCCTTGGTAAATAGAGTGGAAGACAATCAAGGAAGACACCTGTCCATGTCTGTGTGCATGTGAACACACACACACACACACACACATTTTTTTTTTTTTTAAGCTATTTCCTAGTAGCTTTTTGTTTGTAGTTTTTAGGGATTAGGGAGGCTTGCTTGCTTACAACATTGTTGTAAGCGGTGCAGTGGTTTCTGCCCCTGGTATTGGGCTGGGCTGACAATGCATATTTCTCCCTTATAAGACAGGTAAATGTTCATTCATACCTGGCTAAGCATTTTCCAGCTCTTTTTTTTTTTTAATTTTTATTTATTTATTATATGTAAGTACACTGTAGCTGTCTTCAGACACCCCACAAGAGGGTATCAGATATCATTACAGATGGTTGTGAGCCACCATGTGGTTGCTGGGATTTGAACTCATGACCTCTGGAAGAGCAGTCAGTGCTCTTAACCACTGAGCCATCTCACCAGCCCATGGCTAAGCATTTTCAAATAGTATATCCAACAAATAGAAGGTTGGAGGCATCAAGAGAGTCATTCTAGTCAGCAAGCTGGGCAGGCTCCCATGGCAAAATGGCTCCAGCAAGCTTGGCTTGCCTGTTCTGAAGTGTCTCATAGTTTACATTCTATGCCACATTAAAATACCACCACCAGCTACTAGGTCCACCTAGCTGCAGCTATACAAACTATGACAGCAATACCCAGGGGAGAGGAGGCACATTTGATTGCAGTCTCAGGTGTCTGCGATCAGAGGGAGGCTGCTTTCTCCTTCCCCTTGGGGCCGGTGCTATGGTAACAACATCGCTTCCCTCCACCAGGCAGACACCTGCATGCCTAAGCTAAATGAAGGGGATCAGATCGTGTTGATCAATGGCCGGGACATCTCGGAGCACACTCACGACCAGGTGGTGATGTTCATCAAAGCAAGCCGGGAGTCCCACTCGAGAGAACTGGCCCTGGTGATCAGGAGGAAAGGTAACAGGCTCCTAGGGGTGGAGCCACAGGGTCACCATCTGAGTAGCAGCAGCTTATCTACCCAGTTGCTTTGTTGTTGGCTTTTTGGTTTTCTGGAACATCTCCCACGCTGTAGCCCAGGCTGGACTCTTTATCTTGAAGCAATTCTTCTGCTTCAGCTTCTTGGATGCTCCAATTACAAGCGTGAAATTCCATCCTGAGATGCTTGCTATGTTTTCTACATCGTAGTTGGCGTTTGAAAATGAAGAGTTTTGTTGTTGTTTTTGTTTTTTAAACAATTAGGATGTCTGGCTTGTCACTGCCAGGAAAAAAAAAATCTGTCTGCAGGAGTCTTGACTGCTGGCCTTTTGGAGAGAGGCAGCCCTAGAATCTCTTTACATAGGCCCAGAGCCCCAGAATTCAACCAGCCCCTGTCCCAGTAGCTCAGGTTCCACTGTTTGCTTGCCTAGTTCTATCTTGTTTCATGCCTTTGACTTGGTCAGGGGGCAGCTAGGATCTGATTCCACCCCCTACACTGAGAGGCACCTTAGATATGAGCATCCCTCAGATATAACACGAGCATAGGTAATCTTATGCAGATTCAGTGACATCCTCAGAGCACTCGGGATAAAGGTTGGACTGTAGATTTATGAAGAAAGGATTATTAAATGTTGTTACTATTCCTGTTATTGCTGCAATATACTGAGCCAAATACCCTTCACTAGAGACAGCAAGAGAATGAAGGAAAGATGGACACACAGGACAGCTGGGTATATGGGCTGTGTCCATTCTACCTACTTCCACAGCTTAGAAGTTCAGTGTGTTTACTGTGTGCAGCACAGAGGGTGGAGTTAGCTAGTCTCCATAGACAGTGTCTGTAGGCAAGCAGTCTCGGTCTGTAAACGTCTTAGGGGAAGAAGCTATAGTTACTAGTTTTTGCACACACTGGCCAGTTCATGAATGCTAATACATGGACCACAGAGAGGCCTTGCTATTCTGGTTTTGCATGGGTCTAAGGAAATGGCTTGACATGGCTGTGCCCGTGACACTAATAACATCACTCAGGGCTTCATCTGCTCTCTATAAATTGACCCGACGCTTCCTTGGCTCTCACACTTTTTTTTTTTAGTCCTTACATTAATCTATCCATTCTATTTTTGTATGTATTTCTGCACCATTACTGTGTGTACATGCACTGAGAGGTCAAAGGTCCTTGGAATCAAAGTCCATTTGTCAGGCTTGGCGTCGAGCACGCGTACCTACTGGGCCATCTTGCTGGCCCTTATATATAGCTTTAAATACTAACATGAATGGAGGTCTGGTTTTGGTGTAGGCACCACCCAATGCCCTGCTCTCTGTTCCAACTAGGACTTCTTTCCTGAGCCAACCGGAGCCATGCTCATCCCACCTCTAATGAGAGGCCTTAGGGCAGCCCTCCAGCTCCCACTCATCCCTGTCCCGACACTCCATTCTACAAATCCCAGCCACTCAGAGGCTCAATGGGAGTTCAGCTGTAACGGGATACACCAAGGAAGGTGTGTGTTATGCTGACCACTTTATGGCGGCATCCCCTTTAACCTTCATGATTATAAGGAGCGGCATCCCCATGCCGAGAAATCGGGGAACAAAGGCACGGGATGGAGGAGCAGTTGCCTTACTGCCATGTGGTTGTTATAGCCACACATTGACAAGGGGCCAAAGTGCCAGCCTACCATCTGTGACATCCTGGATGTCCAGGTCCACAGGAAAAGCCACCTCTGTTGGCCATGAGGGACTGGTACCTGCTGGAGGTAAGGAAAACCCAGCATGAACTGTTAGAGGCCACCTGTTTTCAAGCAACTGTAATTTTTAATATTATTTCTAGCATAAACATGTAAGGGAGAAATACAAATTGATTTAAAGAAAAATAAGTCAACTAATTTAACACAAACAGTTGCAAATATGACAGAAACCACATAGCACATGAAAAACTGATTTGTTCTGGCCAGTGAATGTGGACTTTAAAGTTAAGGTATAAACTGCATTCCCATGACCTACCCAGACAAGCTGGGTGACTTTTGGACAAGCTCTTCAAAATGGAAGGCTCAACAGCTGACTCAGAATTCTGAGGATTCGGTTCAACTATATGTGGAAAGTCAAAGTTGTTTAGTTACTTTGTTCCTTGGGTGTAAGGAGCCATTGAAAGTTCAGTGAGGGAGGAATTTCCCTTTCTGAGTTATAGGGGAAATTCAGAAATGATCCTAAAGTTTCAAATGTAAGAAGAGGAAGTAAGAGTTGAGGATGGCGTCTGGAGTGAAGTGTTGTATAAGGCAGAGAAGGGTAGGCCTGGAGAGATGCTGCAGCAGTCAGGGTGAGAACAGGAAGTCAGATCTCTAGCACCTATGTTAAAAAAAAAAAAAACAGGGTGCATTATCTCAGCACATGGGAGGCAGAGACAGGGCCCCCAGAACAAGCAGCTAGCTTGACTAGCCAGTTCACTGAGTTCTAGGTCCAAGTGACAGACTGCCTCAGTGTATAAGATGGCGAGCGAGGGAGGACGAGGCCTGATGTCAACTTTGGACACGTGTGTGCGTATACACACACACACAAACACACACACACACAAGATGGGACCTTGAGCCTCTTATTTTTTCCCATAGAGTTTGACATGAAGGGAGAAATTGAACTTGAAGGGTGGCAGTGGCTGGTGTACAGAGATGTTAGCACTAGTGCTAACCACTTAGTAGAATTGATCTCAGACTTATAGCTAAGCTCTTGAGATGGGACAACACAATGGAGCATGCTATACCATATAGTTCAGCAGGGAAAGACTCCCACCACCAAGTCTGATGTTCCAAGTTCGATCCCCAGGACTCACATGGTAGGAGAGAAACAACTCCGTTATCCCTGACATCCACACACGCACAGGCACACAAAATGATAAATAGAAACATAATTTAGTGTTTTTTTTTGTAAAAAGAAAGTAGACTGCAGGGAATAGTGGGAGAGCCTGGGTCTCCACGTTGCCAGAAAACTGCCTATGTTAAAGACGCCAGGTGGGAACCAGAGAGCAAATAGTCCTATATGTCTGTCTTTCTTTGAGGCTCTAGAAACAAAATTTAAACCCTCATACATGCTAAGCAATCTCTCTAAGCAGTATTCCCAGCCATGAACTCATCTAACAACGTTCGTTCCCACGTCTCACCTTTGTCTCATAGCCTGCTACCGTCACTCACCTACAAGTGACATTGGGTACAAATAATGACCAGTAATGAGCCAAGTGACCCACCGCATGTGGTGTCCTGGGCCGATAAGCAGAGTGACCACCCCAGTATCTTGTCTGTTCTGTCTGTTACAGCTGTGCGCTCACTGGCAGAGATCAGACCGGAAGATGAGCTGAGTCAACTTTTCCCAGAAGCCATGTTTCCTGCATGTCCTGAGGGTGGGGACAGTCTGGAGGGATCCATGGAGCTGCTAAAGAAAGGTCTGGAAAGCGGTACAGTGTTGATCCAGTTTGAGGTAAGGGGATCCCTGAGCTGGAGTCTCCAACCAGTTACTGTCACTCACCATGTGACACTGTGTGCGCTAAGAAACAGGCAGCAAAGCTAGAACATGGGCCTGTCTCCTTGGTCAAGGTGACTCTGCCTCACTTGCTTCAGGCAGCAGAGTCTCAGTAAGGAGGACCACAATATGGTCTGATGGGACCACCTCGCAGGCTCAGAGCAATGAAGCATCAGGTGATGGACCAGGACGTCTCCCACTCTCTCCTAGCAGTGGTCTGTAGGCAGGGGCTGCTTCGGATGGGAGGCTCTGATCCTCGGAGCTGCCAGCAGGAGCTCAGAACTCCACAGGAAAGAAAATGGTGCCATCCACAGAATGGGAAGCATGTCCCTAAGTATACTTGGGAATTTAGAAAATTCATATCATCCTCCAAGGGCACAGTGTCTGGCCCTCCAAGGCCACCAGATCACAGAAATTTAAAGTCTGTCCTATTTTCTCAGGAAAGATGGATCTGCGATATTGCAGCAGCACCCCAAGAGGCCTTTCACACCACCCCAAAAGCAGAAGTGACCCTGCTTTTAAGTCAGTTTTATCCACTACTAACCAAATGAAAATCGAATGTGTTCATCTTCCATGTTTGAAGGTAGAAGAAAGCAGTTGTTCATGCAGTGAACAGATAAAAATGTATGGCACCGGGCTGGTGAGATGGCTCAGTGGTTAAGAGCACTGACTGCTCTTCCAGAGGTCATGAGTTCAAATCCCAGCAACCACATGGTGGCTCACAACCATCTGCAATGATATCTGATGCCCTCTTGTGGGGTGTCTGAAGACAGCTACAGTGTACTTACATATAATAAATAAATAAGTTAAAAAAAAAAAAAATGTATGGCACCTCAGTGTGCTGGAGGCTAGGCGGCAGTAGGATCCTAGCCTAGACCACATAGTAAGAGCCTGTCTCAGAAGGGACTTGAGACGGGGAGAGTAAAAGAAAGAATATAAAGAGTGTAGTAAAAGAAACCAGATTAGAGTTTTAACAATGTCATGCATGGTCCAGGCTCTCAATGTATGAATGAGAGCTCTGGTTTCAGAAACAGGTCAACAAACATACTGTTTACTAGAAAAACCCTGGAAAGGGAAGGAGGGCAGTTTGTCCAATGTATTTGACTGCAGAGTGACTCAGGAAGAAAGCTCCTACGGCTGGCAGACAAAAAGGAATGCAAAGCAGAAAGCCTTAAGCAAAAGGCTTGCCTTATGCTAGCCTGGGGGCCAGCCTGTAAAGGATGCCAGAGCAGTGTTAGTTGAACAGCAGTGGAAAGGACTCCATGAGAGAGAAAGCAAAGGTGGTTGGCCTCTCTCTCCCCTTCCATTTCCCACCAAAAGAAGATTCTCGATTTTTTTTTATTAACTGGTTATCTGGACAGATAATGTAAAGACTTGCATCAAGTGGCAATGATATTTGGATAAGAAATGGTGACTCGAACACCCCGGAATAATTCAAACAAGGAATGAGGATTCAGAATCAGGCTCAGACAGCTCGAGGTTTCTCCTTTTGGCACTGGGGATGCTGCGAACCGGGAGAGGCATTGGTGGATTATTTGTTGACTCAGACAGGATATCAGAGGTGCTTTGGGAACATGATGAGGGATGGAGAAGGAGGCTACTAGTCACAAGGAGCTTGCTGTCTAATTTTGGTATATTTAGGGGGCTGTATGTAAGACCAAGCAAGATAGGGTAAGATTTTGTAATAGTGTATGTTCCCCGGCAACTGGTAATTCCAGTTGGGCTGAGAATCCACAAGGAGGCGCTGTGGGCTCTCCTTGGGAACACTTGAGCTGTGTTCTTTCCCTAAAGCCATCTCTGTGCAGTGATTCGACCTTGGTGGGCTTTTTCCATATGGGGGCCTCTGTAAGGTTCTTCTTGCAGTGATTTCATTGGCTTCTGAAAGTCTTTTAAAAGTATTTCTTAAAGAGTGAGCCTATAGCCACTTGTATGGATATCACCTGGGGAACCGTGAACCTAGCTCACAAACACTAGACATTGGTTCTTTAACAAGGTCACCTAAGGGTGTGTGTGTGTTGGGGGCATTAATTTGTTATTAGTGGATGCTGTGGAAGTGGTCTATGCCACAACATGACTTGAAGTCAGAGGACAGCCTTGTGAAGTCATTTCTTTTCTTGCATGTGGTTTTGGAGATTGCCGAACTTTCACACCAAGCGTGTCTGTCCAATGAGCTGCCTCTCCAGCCTTCACTGTTTTTTTTTTTTGTTGTTTGTTTGTTTTGTTTTGTTTTGTTTTGTTTTGTTTTGTTTTGAGACAGGGTTTCTCTGTGTAGCCCTGGCTGTCCTGGAACTCACTCTGTAGACCAGGCTGGCCTCGAACTCAGAAATCTGCCTGCCTCTGCCTCCCAAGTGCTGGGATTAAAGGCGTGCGCCACCACTGCCCGGCACCTCGCTTGGTTTTGATGCATCAATTGATCCCAGAGAGAAGGTAGAGATGGTATCAGACCCACTGTATCACGGCTGCCTGTCCCAGCCCTCCATCAGAGATTATAGTTGGAGATGCCTATAGAATGTGTACCCTTGGGATTTACACTCTAGTCTGGTGCATGGTTTCATGCTCTAGGAAGCTCCTCTTTTACGTGATGTCTTGGTGAGTTCTAAGATACTGACTACTCTGTGAGCTGCTGTAATCCCAGAATTCCACCTGTGTCCATCACTGCTCCTGAAGGAGCCTTGGCTCCCGAGAGCATCGTGTGAAACCACCATCCCAGGAGGAGGAGGGGTGTCTTCCAATACTACTCAAGCAAAGGGACCTACTAGACACCGGACCAAACAGGAAACTCTCAGGAAAGGCAGCTTCAGTGAACCCTTGTTGTGAAAGGGCATCGGCTTCTAGAATTCTCATAACTCCCTGTTAGGTATGGTTTCATCCCGTAACACACAGAAGGGAGGAGAATCTGGTGAAGTGTGTGTTCCAAGGGCTCACAGAAGTCACAGAACCTGACTGGAGCCCTGGCAAGGTACCAGTACCTCAAGCTTGTCCTTTTAACCACTGCATACACAGGCCAAAGAAACTGAAACGGATGTCTGTGACCTGTGAAGTTGTTATTAGATGCATACACGTCACTGCTATCTAGGAGGCTGTCTAGCCATGTGGAGCCAGACAGACTTTAAATTCTGGCTCTCCCCCCTTAACACCATCCCTTAAATTCTATGGCTCTTGCCTCCCTGTCTATAAAATGGGTGTCTCCTGGGTTAGATGAGATAAATGCTTAATACTTTATCTGGTCTGTGATAAGAACACTATGAAAATTAATAGCCGTTATTATTTGTAAACCAAGAGAATTCAACAGCATGCTGAGCCTGCATATGGTATGGTCACTTGGCACTAAACTCGGAGCCCTAAGCTCTCAATTCCAGAGTCTTGGCTGTTTGGGTCCTCTTATCCTCCAGGACCTTATTCTGTGGGAAAGTGCAGGAAAAAGGTTCTGGTCCCCAGCAGGCATCCATTCTGCCTCCTCCATGACACAGCACCAGCTTTGGGGTTGTGGTCTGTAGGCAGATACCCCAATCCTCACTCTTGTAAAGCTTATTCTAAACATTTTTTTTTTCATTAAGGGAATTCCTTCATCCTTTCCTGTGTCTCTCAGTAAACAGAAGGCGTCTGGTCCCCTGTATAACTGAATAACAATTAGCATTTCTAAAGCGCTTTGCAATCTACTGCATATGTTTCGCATCTTACACTAACTCTCACATTCTCTGTGAAATAGATGTGGTGGGAGTTATTAGAATTGATCTGTATACTCTTTCTGTGCCGAAGACTGAACCCAAGACCCCGCCACACTCAGCATGCACTCTGCCACTGAGCTACAACAACCCCAGAGCACTCTCAGAAATGGAGTAAAGGAGCCTCAGAGATGTTAAGGAACTCATCCAGTGCCCACACCTCGTCAGGGATAGACCTAGAATTAGAACCATGTCGAAAATGAAAGCCTGGGGCTAGAGAGATGGCTCAGCTGTTAGGAGCACATACTGGGCTTCCAGAAGACCCAAGTGCAGTCCTCTGCACCCATGTTGGGTGGCTCAGAACATCCTGTAACTCTAGTTCTAAGGGATCCGACTCTTTTTCTTCTAGCCTCTTCATACCCCTACATTTGTGTGTGCAAATCACACTCACATACGAACACACATGCACACACACACACACACACAACTAAAAATAAAATGAATTTCAAAAGAAGCAAAACCCTAACCTATGCCTGGGTGGGTGGGTATTGGACACCTGTAGTCTAAGTTCCTCTGGAACACTGAGGCAAGAGGATCATCACTTAAACCCAGGAGTTTTGAGGTTTTGAGACTACCCTGAGCAAGACCCTGACTCAAATAACAATCCAGTCATTGTCAGTAGCTCCCACTTAACGGATATAGTTCTGCTTTTTCCCACCCTGCTTCTTTCCTGCCTGCTGTTAGTTACTGCCTCCTGGGAGGTTCGTGGAGTTCAGGTGATAGAAAATAAGCTTTGCAAGGGAATAACTTCTTCCCTGGACCACTGGACAAGTGAATGGGTGGGTGGATGGATTGACAGATGGAAGGATACATGAGTGGGTGGGTGGATCATTAGATGGCTGGGTGAATGGCCAGGTAGGTGGATGGATCGTTAGGTAGGTGGGTGAGTGGATGGATGGATAGCTGGGTGGGTGGAGAGAGAGCAGTATCCACAAGAGGCCACTGAGGGTCTTTTCCACCTCACCTAACTTTGTGTATCACCTCGCATCATCCATTTGTACCAAAACCTACCTAGTCCTCTCTGTCTGACCACTGTTTCTTAATTGATGCTTACAGTGCCACTCAAGGAACTGCCCATTAGGGTCAAAAGAAGTGACTCACTGGCTCCTGCGATAATTACAGAATTTGTATTTGGAAGACTAGAGGAGCTAAGCAACACTTCACCAGAGATTGAGATCAGTCCATGTTGCAATTAGCAAGGACAATTGTACCTCCAAGATTTAGATCTGATCC